TCACTTTTTTCTGTTGTTTTGATCTTTTCTATAATACAATACGGTATAATGGGGTTACTGTTGCGAAATGCAAATAGTTAGCACTAACTACGTTTAGATTAAATTAATGGATGAATGGATTAAACATATTTGCAGTATTTTAGATACATTATGGATCAAAGATACCACAAAACTTAAAAACTTAGAATTTCCTTAGAAGCAACTTTATAACAATCAGCGGAATAAAAAAATCGGATGCGAACACTGATAGTGAAGCTGGTGGAAGTGGACAAACTTTATGTTATTTGAATTCAGAAGCAGAAATAGAAATAAATATCTGCATGATAATTTGATAATTATCAAAATTACACCATTCCTATTCATTTAAATTCTCAGCAAGAGTCTTCCACGAAATGTATTTATTGAGTAAGATGGAAATCACCTTTTTCTAACGTCATTCACCACTATAAATTATTCTGACCTTCACTGTTAGGATTGGATTCGTTTGCGAAGACAAAATAGAATGCAGAATTGCAATTGGATCTCAAATGCCAGGTTACTCCTTTTAACGACTCCCCTACCTAAAGGGCTAGGGATTAAATTTATAAACCTAGCTTGGCATTTGGAAAACTAATGGTTACTAGTTAATTGACCTGAAGTGATAAATCGTATCGGGTGACTACTAGCCAAAAAAAATAATTGTCGAAGTGCTGAACAATCTCGCAGCCACTGCCAGATTCGATGTTTAGAAGCAATTTAACATAAATTTTAGCCAATTTTTATTAGTTAATCTTAAGATAATTATTTAATGGCAAGAATATGTCAATAGTGCTCATAAGGCTTGAATCTTTTTTATGAGAAAAAAATTTCTTAAAAAATTATACTTAAAATGGCAAAAACGGTTAATCGGAATGTAGACTGCTGAACAAACTCACGAGGTAGCGGACAGATTCAAGAAAGAGCCGAAACTCGAGGCTAATTTTCAGTAATATGCAGATTGACAAGGAATGGAATGAACTAATTTATAAATTTATATCGTCAGAATTAAAGTATTTCAATTATGAATGATGCCGTTCTCTTAAGTGACCACAAAGCAAATCGAGCTCATCATTTGTGTGGACCTCACATCACAAATGGATCAGAATTTTATTGCTGATTAACAAGCGAAATTCTAACAATTCCTTAATTTTTCTGTCCTTTTCTTGCCAACTTTCAATTGCTGCCAACTGTTGCCATTTGCGACTAATTCCTTTTTTCTTCGAGTCTTACACACCAGCCTTATAGTAAGACATAGGCGTACTGTACATAGGTGCGAATGAGGCGTCGATTTCTTCAGAAGGCACCCCTATCTTCAGCTATCTGAGCTGGAATTTCATTTTTTGGCCATTAACTATATAAGTGAATCGGAAGTATATTTCTTAAACCGAATTTTTTGCTGAATTTTTTATAAAATAAAATGGCGATTTTATTTGCGCTTCGTATTAGAGTCTCATTTATATTGAACTGAAGCACAATTTTCGCTGATGCCGACACACGGTCAAGCGTCTTCCTTGTAATTGTTACTTCAGTAAAAAGGACCACACCATCAGCGTATTCAAAGTGATGCCGACAAACTATAGCCATAGCCCAACCTGTCGCAATTTGAAATGGAAGGTTGTGCCAGTTCCTCATATATATTGTATATATATATATATATATATATATATTATATTGATGTACGTCGATAAAATGCTTCAGTAAGTTTTCTGAAAAAAAATTTTCAGCTACATGGACGCGGATATTTAAAGTCAGACTCTTCTTCAAAGGGCAATGAATTGATGAATAGGTATCATATGACAGTTGTTAAAACATTTGGCAAATGTAATGCTATGCTCTGGACTGATTTGTACACTTCTTGAATGCCGACAAGTGGTTTCCATTATCCAGTCTATCGCATAATTGAATATTGCAGGTTAAAGGATACAGCCTTGACGGACACCAGTTCTTATTTTGAAGGAACATGTAAATTCCCTATACGGATGCCTTGTGCCAGGGTATGCTAATAAAATGGCTTTATAATCCGAATGATCTTCTCTGGGATACCGTCATATTCCATCACTTTCCTCTATCAATCGAATAGAAGGCAAAATCGATAAAGCAAATGACGGTGGGTTGACTGGTTTAAGTTTGTGCCCAAAGAATTCCTTCCATCTTACGAGGCGATCCTTAACATTTTTAACATGCACATCTTTGCTATTCTCTGATCTTTGCTATTCGTATTATTTCTCTGATCGTTTTTGTTTCCCGAGTTATAGTTGTTTTGGAACAAGGCGAAATAGTTTCCTATTATCACCTGTCCGACTCTATTCTCAAGGCCATATCGCTCCAATAGCGATTTCTATTCCGCCGTGCTGCAGTCGTTGTAATTCTTCGAACCACTCGATAGTCAGGATCTCCTGGCTTTGTCAGATTTTTCAGACAGTTGCTTTTGACACCCAACTAGCGCATTTCCTACTGCTATACCCTAGTATGGAAGTGGCTGACTTTTGTAGGCATGTCTTTAGTTGGGACCATTATTCATTCGCCGTTCCAGAGATATCATTGACATTCATTTCACTGAGGTGTTTCAGTTATGCGGTTTGAAATGCATTTATCGTTTCCGGATCTTTTAATTTGAGATAGTTGAAAGATCTTGGGATACACTGTTTCTTACGACTTGTTAGTTTTATACGAATCTTTGCTCGAACCATAACATGATCTGATCCATAGCGATTATCAGTTTCAGCGTCCCGATAAGAACAACTATCAAGTACAGAACTCTTCCAGCGGTGACTGATTAATATATAGTCAATCTGATTGGAATATTGGTTGTCGGGAGAGTTTCACGTGACTAGATGTTTCTTCCGATGCCGAAAGCAGATATTAGCAACAAAGAGTTCATACTCTTCAGCAAAATGAAGAAGGTTCTCCATTGGCGCACTAGACCCTGATTTGTCAATTATCGAGTTCATCGTAACGGCATCATGACCTACGTGTGCATTTCAGTCTCCCTGGATTATGACCATATCACCTCTCGGTAGAGATGTTGACATTAAAGTTCCGCATAGAACTTATCTTTATCGCGGTCATCTGCGCATAAAGTTGGAGTATATACATTGATGACTGAAATATTACAGAACTTTCCTTTGAAACGTGCGTAGGCCATATGCACATTTACTAGCTTCCATTCAATCAGAACGGATCGAGCCTTTTCAGATATGAAATCGCCACGCTATTTCGCCTTGAGTTAACTGAGAATGATATTGCCAATATCTTTACTCAGAACCAGGTTTAATAATTACCCGATATAAGGAAGATGGACCTCCGAGAAAAAAGCCATATCCACTTGGTATTTAGAAAGGGTGTGGACAGTGATTGCTTATTTTGCAACATCCATAAGCTTTCTGACTTTCCAAGCGTTATAGCCAGCATCGTCGCGCTTACAAAGTGTTAACGGATAAGTTCTCGTCTCTCTTGACAGATTCTGGGTAATTATCCTACTTCGCGAGCATACCCTCAAGCCTTGGAATTACTTTACTATTGTTATCGCCCGGATCGTATATTTATCGCGAAGATCCCAAGGCACGAACAAAAGAAGGTGATAGCTGGACAAGAGTCGGTGGGTTGGTATTAACCTTTGAAACTACAAACTCATATCAATAAACGATTCAAAGAATGGATGAATAGAGAAGAAGCTTGCAGGAGTAAAGAGCAAATAAAAGACAAGAAGAGCTGGCCGACCTCAAAAAATAGCATTCGCCTTTTGGAAAACAAGCGGAAAAACTGAAGAAATACTGAATTCACGTGAAAAAATTAATGATAAAAAAGACAACAAAATCGAAGCCGAAAATCGTCTGGTCCAAATTTTAATGAAGTATTCGACAAAACAGCGTCAACAGAAGGAAAGATTTCAGTTGGGATCCGAGATCTGAAAACAATACTGATGACAATGCTAGCTAAATAAGAAATTGACAGATGGAGAGAGCAAGGGGGAAAACAAATTTGACACAACTCGGGAAATAAAAAATTTTCTTCAGGTGGGCCTTAAAATGACGAGCAACAGTTTCATTATGGTTGAAGAAAAGAGAAATGTTATGAAAAGAAAAAAGCTGAAGAGATACTTAAGAGCTTAAAAGAAGAGAAGTGAATCTAAAAAATAAATAATAGAATGGGGTTTCTACTGCAAAAATTAAAACTGGAATTCGACAAAAAAGCACCAGTTGTAAGTGGTGCGCCGAGATAAACATGGTTAATAAATGAATATTTAAAATGGTGTTTTCCTTTTCGATTAGAACTATTTACCAGCAGTGCGAGGGGAAATCGCCAAAACTGCAAGCTAGAAACAGCCAGCGTGAGAAATTTTGCTTATTTCACGTTATTCCTTTGCTACTATTGTAGTGGCCCACCGTAGCACAAGCCTGTCACAGTGCTTTTTGAAAAAAACCGATTAGTCTAAAATTGTCCGAATCATAGTTCTGCCTATTCTTCCTTCGTCCGAGCATCTCGGTGCATTGTACATAGAACTCAGATTTGGGTAATTAAACCTTATTTCAATCAGAAAATGAATTACAATAAAAATCGCAACAACCTGCCACCTCATCAAAACAGTCATAAAATTTGTGCACTCTATATTAAATAAAAAGGAGATGAAACTGAAATCCGCAGCAGGCAATCGGCCACTGTCCGCTGGTCGCCATAATATCGTCCAAGCCAAAGAACTCCGTGTATTTGTTCATCTGAGGCCAACTGTATCAAAATAGTGGCCTTTGCATCATTATTTTTGAGTGCATTTTGTGATCTATCTTTTGTCCTTTCAGTATAGTGCTTTGTCCTTTGGGCGTATGTTTGTTCCTTTTGAGCATTACATCACACCTGCTACACTTCCTCCCACCTCACCATAAATAATGGCAAGTGGCAGTCGGGAGAACACTGACTACTAATTGGCAGCTTTGTATTCTAACAATTATTAGTTCCCGCGTTCGCTACTGCAATTTAGTTTCGTAATGTCGTGGTGCCAGTCATCCTCAGTGTCGGGTTCTTTTGTTTTCGAAAAGGTTTATTAAGATGGGGAGGGGTGGGGGTTGCGGTCGAATCCCAGTTTTAATTTTTCTAAGAATCATTTTTGGTTAGGTTGGCTTACCACAGTTTATTATTCGGTGATAGAGGTTGGCTTTGTGGCAGTTTGCTTCATTTGTTGTTGCTTCATTTGTTGTATGTTTGCATCCTTGATGTTTATCTTTTCTTTAATTTTTCTTTTGCTGGGATTTTTTCGCTAAGATTTGAATAGAATCTTAAATACTAATATTTTAGATAATGGGCTTATGTAAATGTCCGAAGAAAAAAGTAACGAATTTATTTTGTTTTGAGCATCGTGTTAATGTATGTGAGTATTGCCTTGTCGAAATTCATTCGCAGGTTTGCTTTTGTACTCGTTGGTGGTTTGGTTATTGGTTTGGTTATTTTCTTATTTTTTAATTGGTTTACCAGCGTTGATGTTCACATTTTTTAATATTGGTTTTTCGTTTATTTGAAAAATTGCGTAACGAACATAAGTTGGTTTATAAATGGTTGGTCGATTTAGCTGAGATATTCGATCTGAAATGTAAAAAAACTGGTGGAATAAAATACCGGAAATCTGGATATACAATTTCATAACAAAAATAAATTCATCTAACAGCATTTATCTTTTCTTAGCTCGAGTGATTGTTAGGACCACGTATTTTCGCCAGAGAGATATTTAATGGCAGGAATACTGGTAGGTCTTCGACACTATTTGGGTTTTACCTAAAAGAGGAAAAAATTAATAATAGCTTATACTGACCGAAGCAATATGTTGCATGACAGCCTCGTCCCAGTTTATGCAGTTGTGAGATTCTTAAATATTTTTTGGAAATATGGATAATATTTACTGTTGGGCCATGTAAGAAGATACTTGATGAAAGGAGTTTTCGAAGTCGTAGATGCCGTTTAATGGAAATAAATTATTGATGGGGATGAATATATGATAAACGTTAATGATAAGCTCATGCGAGCGAACAGTGCGATGTGTGGATGGAGAATGAAAGAGAAGAAAGAGGAAAAAGAAAAGGAAACGAGTGATCCTTTTTCGGTTATATATTACAAAAAAGATCCTCAGTTTAGTTAACTCTTAATTTATCTTGAAAACTAAAATAGGACTGAATTTTTTCGCACTGTTCGATCGCATAAGCTTATCGTTAATGTATTTGTAATATTTAATATTTAAATAAAAATAGTATTAAAGCTCCTAGAATGAAATAATTCTTCTTTTTAGTGTGTCGTACAGAGTTATCTTTCATGGCTAAAAGACAGTGATTATGATGCGAACTGTTCTTTATGCGCAACGCCGTTGGTGGATAAGGAGACTATTCGATTGCAATGCTTACGTTAGTTCATTTTTATTTTTATTTAATTTATTTTTATTTATTTTTATTCAGTATTTGTTATTTTAACTGTCGTTATTAACACAAGCACATGGCGCTTGCCGTCCTGCTTGGTTAGTTTTTTTTTTAAATAAGTAATTATATCCCATTTATTCGCTTGTGTTTTGTTTTGCAGGTTGTTTTTTTAGTGCTCTTTAAAGTGAATTTATTTGTTTCTGCGCACAATTCCTACAAGAAGATGTCTTATTATTATTTTTCTTATGTAATAGCGTTTTATTCATAATATCTTATTTTAATTTAGATTTGTTTCACTGGGATTGTTTGGATTTATGGGCTCATAATTTTCCTGCAAATACTGCTCCTGCGGGTTATCAGTGTCACATTTGTCACACCGCTGTTTTTCCTGCGCCAAATCAAATTTCACCAACGATTGAACGTTTGAGATTGATGCTTCAAAAAGCAAATTGGGCTCGTGCTGGTCTTGGACTACCATTAGTTTGTTTTACACGCTTTTAAATTAAAAACTAAATCTTCGTTTTTTATGTCGATTTTTCATACCCTTTTTTGAACTGAAGGTTTCATATGGCTTTCTTCTAGTTACCTGAACTTGACAATCTGCCTACAACTAAGGAAGTTTGTCAGTCAGATTCAAATTATCAGCCAGCAGTACACCAACCAGATGGTGGATTAACAAGCATACGATGCTCTACTCCAGCTATAGCCGTAGAAGTCGAACCCATTTACCCTGGAAACGATACTAAACATCATTTTACTGGTATGATTTTGCATATTCTTGCAAGTTTTTTTCGCGTATTTTTTAAAAGCTGTTTAGAAGCATCAACTACTGTTGCAAAGATTTTCATTCTCGAAGAAATATATTTGTATATAATCAACTGAAAATTTTATGATTTTATTATATTTTTAAAGCCATTTTTAGCGAGAAAAAGTACCAACTTTGGCGAGGATGTTGTTAGTTTTGATACGAGTCCATTAGTTGGTCGTCCGCGCATTATAGATGAAGATTTACCTGAAAATAAATATAAAAGACGACCTGCTGGTGAATGGCTAAGTAGATGGTTAAGGTTAGTTTGATATGAGCTTTTTTCATGTCTTTTATTTTCGAACGTTGATTTTTCTTTTTTAATTTCCGCTTCGTTAATTTTTGGTTGCAAGCGCGAAAATATAAAATATGATCGTAATTTTATGAGTTGTAATTTAAATGTCTTTTATAATTTTATAATTTCTCTTACTTTAAGATCACGATACTCGAGTCATTTCTCCTTTGATTCTCGTGCCAAGTGCAAAAGAATGTTATTTATGTCCGTTATTGGTATTATTGTTCTTATGACAGCATTTACTGTTTTGGGGCGAGTATTTGAACAGCCATCTGATAATGATCCAGCTTTTAACCCTCGAGCAAATCCAAACATTCGAATTGCTGCTGTTCCCGATATTCGGTTAAATTAGATTTAAACCATACTTTTTTGCTGGAATCTGGATAACTTAAAGTTGCAGAACTGCTTTATTTCATTTTTTTTTTTTTAATCATGTGATTTATTTCTTCAATAAGTTATATGAACGCGATTGCTTTTTTGATGTTTATTAGCGAGTTAAGAATGGATTTTTTCTCCAAATGATTTACAGTGAAGCTGGTATGTCGAATTTTTATATGAGGATAATAATCATAATGGATTTCAAAACTTTTGCTAGGTAGACCATATAATATTTGTTTTATGGCAAAAATCAGAGCAAATTCCGTAACTTCCTTCCTAAAATTTTAATTCGCAGTGTTTCAGCTTTCAGAATTGACGACCGATTTTTTATTTGCCGAAATGCATTTTTTGTTTTTTGAATAAATGAACTTTTTATTTTCAAATTAAATATATTAACATTGGATTTATGTGATTGAAAATTCGAAAAAGAAAATTATGTTTTTGATTCTTACAAAACGATTTTTTGCACTTAGATTTTAAGTGCTTAATTACTATCACTATATTATCTATGGTCTGTGATAATAAGGAATTGGGAAATTTGAATCTTTGTTTTGTTAATATTATAATAAAAATTTATTTTATTCTTGAATTCAAGCAGATTTCTTTGTTTCTCCCTGTAGAATTGCGTTTTAAAGAAAATGTTGTCCAACACTGGTTTTTAGAATCGGAATATTGCCTGTCGCCGATTATTGAAAAATTCTGTGTTACTGTAATAGACCAAATGATGTGCATTAGGGAGATAGCTCAGTTATTTCGATGCATCGCGTGAAGCTAACGCATTTCTGATGTACGAAGTTAAGGGTCGAGTCTTGTTTGGGTCATTTTGTGCCATGTTTGTTAGGTCCTAAAAGAAAATTGGAAAAGAAAGTTAAAAATTCAGCAATAACAATGAGAATGAATTTGTTGCCAGAAATTATTTTGAAGAGTTTAAAACAAGAGTATGCTTATTCGTCAGACGTGGATGTATATGCGTATCTTTGGAAACACAAAGGTAAAAAGGCGAAAATCTCAGTCGGAAAGAAATTGCACAATCACCTAAACTATTAGAGCGATACTAATGATAATATTAGTGTAGATACAAAAGTGAAAAAGATTCCAAGTTTATTTTCAGTCTTAAACATGTAAACAATTTTCCAGATTGGACTTACCTTAATGCGACGTTTTAAAAGTGTTCGTTTATCTTCCCTCATTTTTCTCATTTGTTGTTCCCTCATTTGTTTTTCGGCTTGAGTTATGGAGTCACTCTAAACAAAAAACGTTTACTTTTACTATTTTTAGAATTCTTCTGAATGACTTATGAAAAAGAGGTGAAAATTTAGCGTCAAGCAAAGCTAACAGTAATCTTTCGAGCCACCACGAATGCCCTTTTCCGTTTATCGGTACCAACAGGTCTGGAATATTTCAGAAGTGCTATGAGACGTTCCTTTGGTTTCAACGATAGCTCCAGCATCAAAATCACTTGTGCCCACTGAAGTGCAAGGATAAACGAATAACGAGTATCATCGATTAATGTAATGCATTCAGCTACTGTAGGAATATAAATTTTTTTCACTGGTATGACAGCAAATAGCTGGAGAACACAAGATCAGGAGAGTCTACCTGTCGTTTCCATTCTTTCTGTGTTCTCGATATTCGTTCATATGTACGTGTCATCATTGCAATCAAAAGGTTGAACTGCATAACGCTTACGAAAAGTTCATATATGATAAAGAGAAACTGAAAATCGTAGTTTGCGGTAGACGTATTTCCCTACTTTTTATAAAATGTTAATTATAATAAAATATATAATTAACCGCAAATAATTTGTGTAATGAAAATTTGGAGTTTCAATGGCGCAATTTTTTAACTATTTCTATAGAACTAAGACTGAAATTGGCCTTCTTATTCTCAAGGATTATAATGAATGATTTTTTTTTCTAAGAGCGTTCACCATTACTGGTAAGGTTTGCTCCACTTTTGCGAGATCAGACAATTTTGCCAAGGAGTGATTTGCAATAGAAGTACTGGCGAGTTGCCAGCTATATAATGGATAGTAAAATTTGATTATGGATGAATGCCTGCTTGCACTAGTTTAATTACAAATATATTATATTTAAAGAGTTTATAAGAACCTTGCCAGTATCACGCATTGTAACATTTTCGCAAAAATTCAGAGAACGGTAAAAAATCGTGAATTCACCTATGGTCATAATGAACAATCGCATCATCGATTCCGCTGGATTATCGATAATATTTGTCACATTGCTGACAGGCACATTTTTATTTGCAGCTTCAGCTCGGGCACACGACATAAATATTATGTAAAAAGCTGAAAAAGATTTATAAAGCAAAAATTAGACGGTAAAGTAATAATAAAATGGAACCTATTTAAAATTTACAATATTCTCAAAACTAAAAATTGGATCAATGTAAATAAGACAAAAGTCTCTTCTTATATAAGAGACGCCGATAAAATATCTATTTTTATCAATTCATCACGGATTGAGAGATTTAAATATCGTAGATTTATTTTAATATCAAAGAGCCAAGGGAAAAACAAAACTCGGTATAACCGTATATAACCGTAGTTAGAAATTTTTTTGGTTCTGACGAAATCTCTGGGGAATCGTCACGAAATTATCAAAATAAAAGTTCGCATTTATAAAGCTGCAGAATACACGATCTTGTTAGCTGCGAAACATGGTCAATGAGAGCAGAGGATTTTAAGAAAAAAATGTGCAACCCTTTGACAACCCTTGTCTAAGACTACATGCCTGCGAAGTGGATAAAATCTCACATGATTGCATCTATCTTTGTTCAGATATCTTGTATTCAAGACATGGTCACAGAGCGTCGCCTGTGCTGGTAAAAATATGTTCTTCATGGTCCATTATATTTTCGACTTTACAGATATCTTGTTTCTTGCCAAACCGTGTGATGGATGTCAAAAACCAGGGGCATTAATTAAGACCTGGACTGATATAATCTGGGAAGGTTTTGAATATATAGGTGGCCTAGCGATATACGGATTTAGGTGATGGAGGAAGGAATGGTTTCTGTTAGGTATGGCGGCTTAGAAACACCTTACTCTTTGGCCAGTAAAGCTGGCTTAACCAGTAATATAGTGTTAGAAGACAGTCTCAAAACTGGATGAACGATCATCCAAAACTCTTAAAAGTTCGCTTGAAAAATTGAAGAAAAAAGGAAAATTTAATCCGTAAATAAACTACCTTGAGAGAAACCGATTAAAAAGATCGAATAAATCATAAAAAATCGGCTAAGATCTCGTGAAAGTATTGTGTATATCATTAAGACAAAAGGACCAATGAATTTGAGAGCTCTGAAAATCAAGTACAGAATCTTCACCTGAAAAATATTTGCAAAAGTCCATGGAATGAATGCATGATTAACTGAATGTTGAATATATAATGGGGTTTTGCAACGTTTACTCAGTGCTTCACACTTAGCTAATGAATAAAAATAAGTCAAAGCGCGCACTTCTTTAGCCTTTATAAACAATTTAGGACCAAAAATTTCATTTATTTACCTAAAAATCATTTTTATTTAGAGAAATTTATTTATTTTTAAAATCAATTTCAAAAAAAGTTGCATTCAATTTTCATCAGTTTTGGACAAATTTATACTTCTTCGGCGAATAAACTGTTCATGCCAACAGAAGAGGGTGATCTGCCTGAGGGTGATGCATCCAACGAGGCTTTTAAACAAATCATTCTAATCTCCGCAATTTCGTGTTCGCACGATTATGAAAGCAGTGTTCGCTTTCCATTTGGAGAAAGGATGGTTGAACTCGCTAAAAACTCGTAAGATCATGGATGCCGAATCATTTGCAGCGTATTCTCAGCTAAGCGAGCCTTAATCTCTTCTAAGCTGCTCGAAAAGTAATTCCTCAGGTGATCAAGAATGATGTCCTCATCTTCGAGACTCAATCTTGATGCATTTCCTTAATACCTCAGTTTTTCCAGTTTTGTGAACATCAATCACATTAGATATGGTATATTTTATTCCAAATTCTTCCTCAATATACTTTCTGGATTTGCTTTGGTGGAATTTTAGACAAATCAATGCTCGCGTACTATCCGAGCGCATTTTTCGTCCATTTTTTATTACACTAGCATCTCGTCTCATGCAGAGTCAGTTACTCTATTTAATACAACCGACACACCGACCACGACTTTTATAAGAATGACTTAACGTAAGTAACTGCGAAATTATTATGAAGACAGCTGCAAACTTATAAATCATTAGGAACGTTCCGGCGAATATTGCGAAATATTCATTATGCTTGAAAACATTGCGAATTTAGGAGCACTACGAAATTTGCTACGTGCATCGACCAGCAAAATTCGTTAACTTGTGAAATTCTCCTTCCGGCAGCGGGATATTCGAATGGAAGTTTGTGTCAGTTAAGGTCAAGGTTCGATTCCTACCATTTGGTTAAAAACTGATATTTCATCACCAGGTGACTCTCTTACACCCATTACAGCAAGCCAAGAAATGGTGATGCTCAAAAAAACGTCTTAATGTACTACCACGCCTTAAAATAGAAGGGAATATTAGCGATAAATGAACAAATGATAAAGCTAAGAAATCATTATCAAATAATCTATTATCGACCAAACCAGTAATATAACCTTGAATAAAACAGGAAGTGAACCCCAGTGAATAAGACGGTCATCAGTGAGAGGATATTATCGAACAAAAGAAAAGTTTCGCTTAATGAACAAGCCAAACGCATCGGCAATATCAATATAACAAATAAAAATGATATCTTATAAGCGATCTTTGCGGGAAATGATTTCTGAAATATTTAAAATTTTTTAAAATTTATTGAATTAAATCTATTACTTATTATTTAAAAATAAATGAATAAAATAATAAAATAAATGAATAAAAAAAATAAAGCGCTTTTCTTGAATGAATTATTGTTAATAGTGATGAAATATGAGCTCTACAATTCATGAAATCTAGGGAGTATGATTTAGCCGAACAGTTCATTTAAATACTGTGAGAGCAGCTATGATAAATAACTCTTATTTATCAAATTTAAGCAGAAAATTAGGAAAATTCCACCAAGAAAATTGACTGCAATTCCCACAAATTTAATGAAAGAAGAAGAAAATTTATGAATTTACGAGGACTTGCCACCATCGTTTTTTACCAATACTTCTAATATCAGAAATGTCGGCGATAATTTGAAAGATAGCCATCAACAAAACAGCTGGTTCAGCAACCAAACGAACCTGACTTTTGCTTAATAACATTATTCTTATGTAACATAAGAAAATTTAAAATTTGAAAATTTAAATTCTTCTAATTAATTTCATAATTAATTATTTCTCATTATCTTTTCAAAAAAAAGCCATTTCGAAATTTTCAATTGAGAAAAACTAATTCATCAACAGCTCCACTAAAATAAAAGATTGTTTCGAGCTTACATGTTGTTGCCAGCCTCGGCCAAAATACCACCACAAATGGCAAAAATCTGACGAGAACATCGATGTTCCTGTAAATAGCGAAAGTTACTACTGGATTACGAACACTCAAGAGGTATAAAAATCAGTCCAGACCATGGACTTCGAATATATTGATGATGTAGTCGCTTTTCGCTGATGAGGAACTGCAATAGACTGGCAGCAGCAGCGAAAATTGTTCTTAAATCAATTTAAATAAGATGAGACTCTTGCCATACGCTAATAAGATCTAACTATTCATCAACAGTTTAAGAAATTTTAGACTTCAAATATCTCGGATCAACACTGATACCAGATGAAAGACAAAATTCCCACTCTGATAGCTGCATTCAGAAATGTCTTTTTTCGTCTGACCAAATCTATTTAGAATCCCCATAAAGTTAGCCTAAAATATCCTCTCTTGCCGTAATAAACGGTCTACTCTACGGCTGTTAAACTTGACCAGTGAGAATAGACGTCAGCCGTCTGTCTTTAACTCTTTAACTTTTCTTGCTTGAGATATATCCTTCTTATCTACCAAGTGTCCAGAATTCTACACGATTGTATCCACATTTGCTCGTATTTGCTCGTATATATCATCTGTATTAGGAATACTGTCAAAAAGCGTCCCTACGTTGGTTTGACCATGTTCTTCGCCCACCACAGATTTATACGGTTAGAAAAGATTTCAAGCCCATATGCAGCCTAACGATATACCGAGCTAAATAGTAAAAAAAAGTGGCTTTATTTACTTTTAAGACATTGGATTGGGATACTTGGAACGACTTATTCCAGTTACCAGTGGAATGAGCCAAGCCAGCAGTGGTGCGAGCTATTAAAAGTTCTTGCAGTATACCAGATACCAGAACTTTTATTATTTTCCTCATTAACTACTTGCTTGAATTTAAAATTTCATGTGTTTTGCTTCAGAAGAATACCTCAGAAAGATTTTTTAATAGAGTCCATGCGAAAAATGTAAATATAAGCTTTCTTTCAAAATATTTTTTTTTCAGTTTTTGTCTAATTTGGCAATTATTTAAACTGATAGCAAGCTGTGAAACAAATAACTATCTGTATAAATTAAAATAACTATCTGTATAAATTAAAGTAAAAAATGAAACCGAATCAAATCGATATCAAATTGCAGTTCATTGCAGTGAGAAGTGATGAATTTGCTAGAATCTATTTTGAAAATATTGAAAAGGTATTAACTTATATTTTTCATGAGTGCACCACTTGTTGCGGTGACAGCATCCATCGGTGACATCTTTTTAAAGTGCAAGTGCGCCACATCCAACACTGTTTGAATAGGGATGCACGGAAATGGGTTTGTCGCATTGCATACAATCGATGTGTCCATTCCATCAATGTAATCAGAAGTTATCACCTAAAAAATGCGGCAAACTCCGATGAAAAATTTGAATAATAATAAAATAAAACAATTAATGCAAATATTAATTTTAATTTTTGATAAAAACTAGAGTATACATACTTGAGTAGTCATCGAGAATGGTCGGCACATAAATGACATGAAGACAAATGCGTAATATATGAGAAATGAAAAAAATGAAATAGCTAATCTGAAAATTATCATCAAATTCTTAGAAAACAAAAATAATTCAGACGATTCTTCAGAAAAATTATAAATTTATAAATTATAAATTTCAAAGCCAATACTATTCGATCCTAAAATCCTAACTTTTTGCAATTTTAAGTAATCAATGAATAAATTGATAATATAACTTGTATAATATAACTATTTCAGTGCGTTTTATCGCCGTGAAAATACCTATTACACATAGAAACTACGAACTTTCTTCGTCCAAAAGCCTCCCACTTTGCTTGCAAAAGGTCTTCCATCAATCCATCCAATAAATCCAAATGTTCTGTTGTTTCCTTGAAAACATTTCAATAAAATTGTATAGAAGGTAGCAACTTATCATGAATTAAAAATTAAAAACTAACACCGTAAACAATTAGTGACAAAGCGCTGTCCTCGTTAAGTTCACCACTTTCTTGATTAATCGTATCGATGTTAGCGAGAGGATATGCATGACTACTCGCATCACCGTACATCCATACCACATTTGATTCTAAGCGCAAAATCTGCTCAAACATCTACAATTTCGACTGATAATTTATCAGGCACGAAATTAAAAATTAATTCAAAGATATCGTGTTAAAAATAAGAATTAATTTCATGCATCGCTAATGATGAATACGTCATATTTTATCAAATTTATCAAATGCATGACGATAAAAATGAAGCTTTGAAAATAATCAATTTATATAACTTCCTATAGATAATAAGTGGTTAATGCTCATTTCTCGTTACACTAGTTCCATTGGCTATTTGCACACGAAATTTTCTATCAGGATGGCATAATATCAGGATGAATCCAGCATCGAATTTTTTAATGACAGATTTACTCCTGATAGAGTCAGAGAGTCTAACCTATGATGAGAATCGGAAGAACAAAAAAATGAATCAAATCACTCGACCGTTTTTGCCTTAACTTTTTTTAGTGCACAATTATAGTCAAAATAATAAAATGCCTATTTCTCTCGATTTCCTACCATTTCCGCCATGTAAAATTTGATAAAACCCAGAAAATTGATAAAACTCAGTTTAATGTAATAAGTACCAGCACGAATAGTTGATTAGATTATAGCCATAAGCTTCAGAGTCCGAATACCGTATCCGTTATGTATCCGTTATTAAAAAAATTCAGATGGTGTTTGTGATCATTATATATCAATATACAGCCATTAAGTCTAACCTAACTAGAAAAATTGAGCGCGAACCACTTACTTTTCTGTTTATATAATAAAATCTAGCTAATCACTCATAAATTTTGCCAAACCATTTGCCTCATAAACTGCAAAAAAAATTTATATTTATAACTTCTTTTTTCGCGAGATGTGCTGCCAATGTTAATGGCGTTAAATTACATTTATTCATAATTTGAAGCCTGGCGCCCATGTCGTATGCTAGCTTCAACATTTCCTGAATCTACTCATTGGTTATAAAAAGTATAAAAGTATTTGGGACCAAAAGAAAATTATCAAAATTCAGATGAAAATCTGAAAAAAAATCCCAATTTTTTTGGCTTTAAAAAAATTTGGCAAAAAATACAAATTTCTCATGTATGACAGCAAGATGCAGCACAGTATTGCCATTTGTATCCTTGTGGTTTGGATCAGCACCTTTAGCAATTAATAGCCTGTAGCAATCCATTTGATCCATACATGCAGCAAATGATAACGGATATTCCCCAAAGTACATTCGCCTGAAAATCTCCATACAGTTATAAATTCAACTAATAAGTTGTATTTATTTATCGCAGTTCAGCTAATCAAAAGCCAGATTGTTTATGAACTGAATAAACTTCAAAAAGATCTTGAAATTTACCCAACATAATTTGTGTTCTGGCTTAGCTCAACATATTCATGTTCAAGTGAATCAGTTCGGCTGCTTTTCTGGTCTTCAGGGCAAAATGATGCGCCGTAACATCGCTGATGGATATCAGCTCCATGGTGAAGTAAAAAATTAACCATACAAGGATCTTCATTAATGATGGCCTGATGAAGTGGTGACAAACCTAAAATCAGTTTATAAATATCACGAAATTACATCCCCAATTTCCTTTGATTGCGAGCTTATGAGTTTTCTTGCTTTTCTTTAGGTTAATTACTTTGAATTTCTAAGTAATTTCGAATTTCTGCAACTACGATTGCTCCATAAATTTGTAATTTTAATGCATGAACATTCTTATTAAATTTTTCTTTTTCTTCTGATAGCACACATAGTTTGGTCGTAATATGTAGTCTTACTTGCTAATGATTTTTTACCTGGAAATCATCTAAGGATTTATAGTGGAGTCCATAACAATACAAAGACTTCACTTTAAATAGAAAGGTTAAAAAGTAGAGAGATAGGAATTCAATTTATGATAATTGGTCTCAGCCAAAGAAATATAAAATTTAATCAAACTACCCACATCGACCGTAAAGCTAGAAAATTTTTTCTTCTTTTATATAATTCTGTATCCAGTTTTTTAAAATTTTATGCAATATGCCTGTCTATCCATACCGTAATAGTCTTCACTGATGAAAATATCATTGACCATTTTGGGATATGTAAGCAGGAGTTTGATAGCAAGTTGAATATGAACAGCTGTTCCTTGCAATAGACAAATTCCCACTAAATTTTCACCCATAGATCCTCGTTCGTCCAGTTTCCATGCAACTTCTCTATATTTTGAATCACCTTTTCCACCTTTACCGCCACCTTCTAGTAGCTTTAATGCTGCAATATGATCATTTTATCATATAATAATCTTTAAAGAAATTCAAAATTCACTCTTACTCACTCTTTAAGTTCAATCTAATTGTCATGAAATCTTTTTTTACTCGAGAAAATTACCTTTTTTCAAATCTCCTTGATTTTCTCCTTCTTGGTTGAAATTATCTAGGATATTTGGGCCACTCTTGCCTTTACCTTTTTTCCGTTTCAGTGCACTCAGCATAGCATTACGTTCCTTATTACGAATTTTAACTAATTCTGATACCGCAACCATTTTACCCTTTCCAGAATTGTACATGAATTCTTTAACCTAAATATTATCCTCCAGTAAACTTATCAGAAAGATTTTAAAACCGTGGACTAATAAAAAGTCAAAAACTTAATGGCAACTTCAAACCGCACAATACCACTGAAACTGCAATTAATAATTTATTCAGATTACTTATTTCATCTAATTTTTTCCTATTCTTTGTAAATTTACTTACCATATTTACTATAAAATTTACTTACCATATTTACTATAACCCATATTTACTATAAAAATAGTGTATATAAATATATATATGTTTATTTATATGTTTTTTCATACTTTAAATTCATTTTGCATTATAAAAATTATAGAGGAATTATTGTGAGACCGAAATTAATGTGATAGTTCTCAAAACCCTAAGTTCGCTACACTGTTCTTCAATTCTTTATGATCCTATTTCGATTCCGAAACCCACATCTACTAATCTTTTCAACAAATTTAATTGAAAAACATTAATTTCTATTGATCTAATCATTTCGTTCTACCATAATTCATCCTTGAAATGGCAACTTTTGGGTTAAAAATATGTTTTGATTTTTCAATTAACTAATGATAACAATTTTAATTAGAGTTATACTGATAAGATAGTCTTGGAAATGATGCAAAAAACCTTTGCCGCAATAAATTCATCAATAATTGAGTAATCGCCACTATTTTTGGCGTATCGCATCCATGGAATCAATTCACCACCACCGTGCATATCAACAAAGCGATAAAGTTTATAATTTTGCACATCATCGTTTTGCTTTCGAATTCCACCTTCTCCATCTGTTGTTGATGATTCGCTATTACCCATCGTTACCAAACTGCGTAACGATATAGCGAAATGAGTTAGTAAATAATAATTTCTAAATGGTTATAATAATGATTTACCTGAAATAATTCCATTTTGCAATTGTTTTTTCTATTAGTTCATTGGTTCTTTTTTATAGGCCCTTACACATGCATCTGTAGTTCACTTGTCGTACATATGACGGGGGGCATGGAACATTTTTCTGGATGGATAGGATGGAGTGGTGAAAAAAGAATTGAACTGTCAGGTAAGCTACGGAGTTATAATAGGACTTTTTCTAACATTTCTCAATATTACTGGTTAGGCTGACTGCACTGGCTACAAAAATAGGACATTTCTAAACTGCTCGAACCGATGCCATCGCTGATAGTAATAGAAGCCATTCCTTTTTCCATCGTCTAAGTCCATATATTGCTGGTCCATCTATACGTTCAAAATCTTTCCTGACTGCATCAGTGCAGGTCCTACCTTTGGATGCCATCCATGTTTAGCAAGTAACGAAATATGTGTCAACCCCTATGGTGGACGAAGAACATGTCTAAGCAGTAATGGTAATGATATTGTCAATGGAAGTGGTGTTTGAATGAAGTTGGATGCGATCATATGAGATTTCATACACTCGACGTAAAATCTATCTAAGACATAAGTGGTCAAAGTCAGATAGTTATATCTTAATGTCCTCCACTGGCTATCTTGAAGCCATATAGCAAAATCGAACGAATTACAGCTAAATGAGCGCGGTTTTTCGTCTTTATGGTGATTTCGCAATAGCTCCATAAAAGATTTCTTCAACTGGAAGCATTTCTTCATGACCTAGTTAGTATGAGATGCTAGTTATAAAATAGAATGTCGGTAAAAAATTTATATTCTATTTTAAAAGAATAATTCTAAGCGTCACTTAGACATTTTAACTGGAGATCGCACAATAAGAAGGCAACATCTGAGGTAAAAGAGGAATTCAGCGAAAAAGAAAAGAAAAACGAATTTCCAGCCAAATGTACAAAAACTCTCTTTTTCTCATCAGCCGCAAGGCTCAAACAAAAGTTTTCCTTCAAAGCAATATTGCATTTGAATTTCTTTCAAAATTAATTTTTATTTTAGGACACTTAATTCCACATTTTTTTCGAAATTTAGATTACAATTTTAATTGCATTTTATGAAATATTCTGTTTCTTAAGTAGCTTTTTCTTAAGGAACAAATTTATAGTAGCTGATTTGATGGAATTTTTTCAAGTCCTCTATCTTATATTATTTTTGAGCCCTCAATTCAATCATTACTTGCCCTTTAGTGAAAACTGAACTTTCTGGAAGAGAGAGGATGGTGGGGAAGGTGAAAAGAGTACAGTTGAAGAAGATCATGAACAATATTATTCTTCTAATTCACTAAGTCACTTAAGTCCAAGATTCGTATAAATTCTATTCAATTTGCCTTCTTGAGCTTCTGTTCCTAGCAACCACTAACTAGCCACTTCCTTTATCCAGAGAATCTTAGACTCAGAAATACCAGTACTACTCAATTTCACTTCCAATTGCAGTTTTCATCCCCATGAAGCTACAGGAATCCAAAATCTACGATAAATTGACCTTAATAAAAGCAACGTGGCGCTTCCTTTATCCAGCCATTAGCTCCATAATTTATATTTTATCCGAATAATCTAACTTTGTGTAAGGACAAGAACGTATTAAAAAATAGAAAAAAATAGAACTGTTTTTGAATGAAGCTTAGCGATAAGTTTTTCGCATTCCTTGTTATGTCGTCAATTACATTTAATTATTTTTTAATGCGCAAATGGTTATTTTTAAGAAAATTTCAGACTGGATTTTTCTTTTCAAACTGCGATTCGATAAACATAATCATTCGTAAAGAAGCTTCGAATGATAAATAAAATAATTTTATGAAAGAATCTCTTTCTTAGAAAACCAACAGAAGCGTTGCCTTTTTTCTATGTTTCATCGAGAAATCGGCTGATGCTACCGATCGACATGTGTCGCCAAACGGCTTTCTCGTAAAAATTCCTGCCCGTACTTACAGCAAGTATTGCTGAGTGCAAACCATTTATTCATTCATCACCTCTATGAACAAATAATTTGAATCTTAGTTAATTCGCAACTAGAAATCTTATAGCACCATCGATTACTGTGTAATAAAGCTGAAAAATTCTTGGCTTAAATTATCAAAGGCCTAAGTGATTAATATAAATGAAAAAAGCAATATTGAAATCAAAATGAAACAATCGAAATACCTTTCTTTTCGAGAAAAAATCTAATTTATTGGCGTAGAAATCGTTTCGTGTCTTTCAATAATCAAAAATTCATATCCAGTGAAATTCAATTATTTCTTATGTAAGAAAATAATTGAATTTCTCAGATTGCCGTTTTATTAATAATTCATTTCTATTTCATTTGAAAATGATAAACATTGTCGTAAAATTATCGCTAAATTTTGAGCGACTTTTGAGTTCGTTAATTTCACAATTTAATTTATTTGTAAAACTCAAAGATTATGGTAAAAACCAAGTGTAAATTTTAAATCTTCTAAAAACATGAACAGTAGTTAGTTTTTTTTCATTTTTTGATAGAAAATTTTTGATAAGAAATAAATGTGAAATTCAAAAAAAAGAATTTGCGTTTAACTTTCAGTGCCTTTGTCACTCTGGTAATGACTGGAGTTAACTAAACGAGGAATGATTAGAAGAAAAAGCATATTCTTCATCCAGATGACATTTTCACTGCTGAACGGAGCTATAGCTTATAAAATTAAGCGAACTGATAACATATCAAAACAATTCACCATTAAAAGACTCCATTTGATAGCTAATGATAAGAAATAGTGGCTGCAGTCATGAGGCTTGAGAGTGAATGTACTAAAAAATTTTCTTACAAAGCTGTATTTCTAGTTCCTCAAAAAATTGCTCATATTGTTTTCCAAATATGTTCACTAATCTATGTCAATAAATAATTACAAAATGGATATGGTGTTTTGCATTATTATTACATGTGTATAAGAAAATAAGAAAACTTGCTGCCGAACAGCTGATCACCCCCCAACTCCCTCAAATATTTCGCCGATATTTAGAACGATCTAGTGATAATTATATGCCTACATATACCGCCTTGAAATCTGTTGAGAGTTAAATAATATTATGCTCTCGGGTTCAAATCAGAATCCCGACACGATTTTTTTCTTTCGGTAGTTTTTAGAAAATTTTTTCCACCTTGTTCTTGTCTGTGTTGCATCCATTTTCCAGAGATTTGGTATTATTTACGTTGTCTTCGTTTCATTCAGGTTGATTTGCTTATAAAAATTTGTATATATTTTGTCGCAACCAGAATGTTAAATTGCTAAATGAGAAAGTATTGTTTTATCGAATCATACTTGACAGTCAGTTTAGTGTTTAGCTTCACGTGTAGACATGACGTGGACTCGTGACAAACGTGAAACGTGGTTCTGCGCTGTAGTCGATCTGTAATTTTTGCGACTCTCTTCTCTGTTTTTCTTCGATTATTTCTCTGTTTTTTTTTCACTGCGTCCTGAAATAATCGGGTGCATAAATTTTTAAAAAAAATCAGTTCATTTCTTCGATGCTCCTTTGCATTGGTGGTAATTGTGTAAGAATGGTTATGGCAATAGTCGGTTATGGAAATGCACAGCCGTCCACATCCATTTGAAATACATTCACTAACTTAAGGCATAGACCGTAAGAGCGTGCATGCGACGATTGACAATAAATTTGTATTTAGATGCCAAAATATTATTGCGATTACTGCGATACTTTTCTAACTCACGATTCACCATCAGTACGGAAAACGCACAATGGTGGTCGAAAACACAAGGTGAATACTTTAGTATTTTATTTCTAAACTTCATTTTATTTTGTTGAAAATAACTAAATAGTTATTTTTAATGATTTTTCTAATAGTTTTCAACAAGAATTCTTTAAGGAAAATGTACGAATGTTCTATCAAAAGTGGATGGAAGAGCAGGCGCAGAAGTTGGTTGATGCAACTGCTCGAGCGTTTACTCAGGGGCGTATTGTGCCTTCTGTAGGAGCTCCAGCAATTCCGGGTGCTCCGAGAATGCCAATGGTCTTTTTCTTTTTTTTCCTTAATAATATAGAAAATGCAGACAGAATCTTCTTTTTTTTCTAACAGCTTTCACCATTATTGGTTAGGCTGATTCCAACGGCTACAAGGGTAAGACGCTTCCAATCGGCGCGGTCTGATGCCATCGTCGACAGAAATGGAAATCATTCCTTTTTCCATCGTCTAAGTCCATGTATTGCTGGTCCACCTATGCGTTCAAAATCTTTTCTCACCTTATCAGTCCAGGTCTTGATTGGCCCACCTCGCTTTTGAGGCCAACTGTCACACGATTTAGCAAATAACGAAATATGCTTCAGCTCCTGTGGTGGACAACGGAGAATGTGCCCTAACCAGCGAAGGCGGCGCTCATTATTATTATTTATGCAAGTGGTATTTGAACGAAGATAGATGTTATCTTGTGATATCTTATCCTCTCGACGGATCCGCAATATGTACTTTAGACAAGAGTGGTCAAATTCTAATATCCTGCACTCTCATTGGCCATGTCTTAGAGTCATATAGCAAGATCGAACGCATCACGGCAATATAGATGCGGACTTTCGTTTTTATGGTGATTTCACGACGATTCCATAAAGGTTTCGTCAACCGGAAGAACCCATTTCTAGCTGCCTTGAACCGAGTTGTAATATCATCTTTTGCCTTTCCATTTGGTATTAGAGTGGACCCAAGGTATTTAAAATCAGGCACTTTCTCAACCGGCGATGAATTTACAAAAAGAGGCATTTTATCAGCTTCTTGCATATAAGACGAAAAGATTTTATTTACATTAATCCTGACTCTGATTTTTGCTGCAGTTTTTGGCACGTTATTTGCATTTCGTTATAACTGTCAGCAAAAAGGACTGCATCATCAGCGTATTCAAGATCTGTGATACGATTCTCAGCACTAATTCGGACACCTCTTGAGTGCCGACAAGCAGTGTCCATTATCCAGTCTATCGCATAGTTCAATATTGCGGGGGAAAGGACGCAGTTCTGACGGATACCTGTTCCTATTTCGAAGGAATCTATCAGTTTCCCATATACACAGACCTGCTTCGACGTGCGCTCATAAAATGACTTTATGAGTCTAATGATTTTCTCTGGAACACCGTCATGTTCCATCATCCTCCAAAGCGCCGCTCTATCATTTGAATCAAAGGCAGCCGCAAAGTCGATGAAACACGTGTCAGTGGGTTGCAAATATTTGAAGCGATGTTCCAACACCATTTTTAACGTGAATATCTGGTCAGGACAACCACGCCCTGGTCTGAAACCAGCTTGATTAGGGCGAATCCTGCTGTCCCGTACTTCCATAAGTCTGTTGAGTAGCAGGGTAGCAAAAATTTTTGCTGAGACGTCTAATAGGCTGATTCTTCGATAATTGTCCTATCATCATTATGTCCTATCATCTTTCTTGAGAATTTGGCGCAGAATTGCTTTGCTCCCATCATCTGGTAATATTTCTTTTTTCCATACTAGAGAGTACATTTGTTGAAGGTGCGTTACAAAGGTCGATGGGTTTGAATAATTTAGCTCGAAGTCCCTTCTTCTGTTGGAGGCTCGAAATTGCAAGCGTATAGTTCGGCGAACCTATCAGGGGCAGCAGATGGCCCTTCATGGTTAAGTTTGGCCTCAAAGAATTCTTTCTATCTTATGGGTCGGTCCTTAATACTCTTAATCGGCACGCCATTGCTGTCCCTTATCATTTCACTGATCGTTTCCCGAGTTATAGTTGCTTTATGAAGAATGAGGAATAGTTTCCTATTATCGTCTAATCGAGCCGCCATCTCTATTCTCAAAGCCATGTCACTCCAATAGTGATTTCTGTCCCGCGTGCTTTCCCTTTTATTGCAAATCTTCGAAACGCCGGGTAATCAGGATCACCTGACATTCGTGCTTTGACAGCTTTTTCAGACAATTGGACAGTTACTATCGATACCCAACTAGCGCACTTCCCACTAGTTTGGCCTAGCTTGGAAGTGGCTGATTTTCGGAGACATTCCTTTAGTTTGGACCAGTATTCATTTGCCGTACCAGAAAAATCATTGAATGCAGAATAGTTATTCGTTATGATTCTAAAAAACTAATGAATAAAAGATTAAGTAATAATCTGTCCAAGAAAAACAATGAAATGATGTATATATGTTTTAAATAGTATTGTCGGATTTTATTGCTCATATAAATATAACAGTGCAAAGAGTCGTATCTTAAAAGTATTTTTAAGTATTACAGAATTTTTAATTTTTAGCCAATGGGACCTCGTGGGCCACCAATGGTTCCTCCATTCGGTGGGCCTCCTATGCGCGGGCCCATGCCGTTCCCTTACACACCAGTTGGTCCACCTGGAATGATGATAAGGCCACCGATTGTTATGAATCCTGGCCCTCGTAGAACGTAAGAACCAAACCATGGAAATGAACCATAATTTTGCTCGTAGAAGCAGTTGTTTGTTATTATGTTTTTCGCTATTTTTTATATTTATTTTGATCATATATGTTGTTTGAATTGTATGGAATATTTTAATTGTTTAATGTTTTCTGAAAATGGATTAAAATGTTTTCGATCATATTTATAACTACATTATTTCAAACAATTTGTTATCTGATGTGATTCAAGCCGTCTAACGATTTGCTCTTTGATCTATTTTTGAACTGTTTTCACCTTTTTGAAATCTTTAAGTTTCTTTTTTATCATCAAAGATTATATTTGCTAACAGGGGCAAAATAGAGCCTTTTGGTAGTTGTCGCATAAATTTTCATCTTGATTCAATTTCGTCTTTTTTCTTGATTTCTTTGGGTCGAAATCATTATCATATTGTCTTGTGATTTTTGGCAATTTACATCTTTTTTTCGTTTAAGATTGGACTTGAATATTATATTTACCAATATATAAAAATCGTACCTATATATGTATTTTGTTTGGCCTAATTTAGATTTTTTGTTTGAAAATTCGATCAAAGTGAAGTTGTCTTAGAAATGAATTATGTTGTCGACGATAATATTAAACGTAGAGTCAAATCTACTTTTGCATTCCATTCTTTTTTTTTAAGCAAGTTAGTCTTTTTTTTTTGAAATAAATTGGGTGAATAAATCGAAATTTTCGAATTATTATTAATTACCTGAAATTTATCTTGATTGTTTCTCTTTTCCAGTCGACTCTACAGTGCATTACACAGTTTTCATTTCCTTGATAATCCATCATTCTATTATTTTTTGTATGATTTATCTTCTAATTCTTTAATTTAGTGGATGATTATCAAATTTTTATGTATGAAGTTAATGAAATCAATTTAAGACGAGCATTAGATCATATATGTCGGATTCTCATCGATATCCCTCTGGAGGAACATTCGGATTGGCTAAACAGGATATTTGCTGCATTACGCAAGATTCATGGTTAGGCTCAAATTTTATTATTTTAAACTGCTTATATTAATATTCCTATTCTTAAGGTGTTCAAGAATGTATATTCATTAAAATAATATTAACATGTTCATAGAAATTTTAATATTTTCATTCGATTGATAAAATTAATTCAAATGAAATTTCTTTCACACTTCTCGTAATCTTTTTTTTTTAAAAAAAGTCAAAAATTCTCATATAACAAGAGTTAAGTGATAAAATTAATAGTCTGAAAAGCTATAAATATTTATAATGTGAATCTAGTTGGAGGAGCCATATTGAGCGATGAAGATTTCAAAAATGCGATTAGGGAATTATATGAGCGCAAGGAAGCAGGCAAAAAGTTTGTTTTTTACTTTACTTTTTTTTTACTTTTATTTTAGAACTATCGAGTTTTTCTTCTGCTATCACCACTAATGGTTAAGCTGGCTGCTAGAAAAGAATAAGACATTTCCAAGACAGTTCGATCCTATTCTGTCGCTGACAGTAATAGAAACCATTTGTTTTTCCATCTTCTAAGTCCCTATATCGCTAGTCCACTTATATGAATACACTGATGACAGTCCTTTTTGCTGACAGTCATGAGGAAATGCAAATACTATTAAACAGTGTATCAACAATTGCAACGAGAATTGGGCTCAAAATCAATGTAAATAAAACGAAAGTATTTTCATCTTACATACAAGATGCTGATAAAATGCCTATTTTTATCAATTCACTGCCGATTGAGGATGTGCTGGACTTTAAACACCTCTAATCCCAAATGGCCAGGCAAAGGATGAAATCGTAACCCCGATAACGGCAACTAGAATTATGTTTTTCCGGTTGATGAAACCTTCATAGAATCGTGGTGAAATCACCATAAAGACGAAAATCCGGGTCCATATAGCGGCAATTCGTTCGATCTTGCTATATGGCTGCGAAACATGGCCAATGAAAGTGGAAGTTATTAAGAAGCTATTAGCCTTTGACCAATCATTTCTAAGGTACATTCTACGGATCCACCGAGATAAAATCGCACATGTTTGTATCCACCTTCGCTCAAATATCTTCACTATCTTATCACAGAGCGTCGTCTTCTCTGGTTAAGGCACGTTCTCCTTCCTCCACCGCAGGAATTGACGCATATTTTATGCTAAATCCTATGTTTCTTGCTCAGCTGTCATTGGCCATGTCTTGTAGATATACAAACGAATTGCAGCTGTACAGAAATGGACTTTGATGGTGATAGCCATGGCCTCATAAAAATTTCGCCAATCGGAAGAACGTATTTATTTATCGTTTATTTATCGTTAATCTGTTGCTTTTTCGTCTTTTACTTGACCATTTGCGATTTGAGTAGATCCAAGGTATTTGAAGTCTGGTACTTTCTCAGTCGGCGATGAATTGATAAAGATATGTATTTTATTAACATCTGGTATATAAAACGAAAAGATTTTCGTTTTATTTATTTTATTTATATTTACATTCATCCGATTCTCACTGCAGTTGTCGATATATTGTTTACCATTATTTCTTCATAACTGTTAGCGGACTACATCATCAACGTATTCAAGGTGCTCTATGGTACTCTGGACTGATTTGCATACCTGTTGAGTATCGGCAAACGATGTCCATTTTCCAATCTGTCATAGTTGAATACCAGTTCTTATTTCGAAAGAGTCTAGTGGCTCCCCATATACACAAATATGCCAATATAAGCTGGAAAAATGCCTTTATGAGCCGAACGATCTTCTCTGAAACACCGTCACATTCCATCATCGTCCAAAGCACTACTTTATCAATTGAATCGAAGGCAGCTGTGAAATCACTGAAACATGTGACGGTAGATAGGTTATTGATATTTAAGTGATGTTCTAACACCCTTCTTGGCATGAATATTTGATCAACGCAACTACTTCCTGGTCCAGTTTTGTTAGGACACATTCTGCCTCATACTACCGTAAGTTTATTTAGTAGGCGGAAAGCAAAATTTTTCTGGATGTCTAGCTTTTCTCAGTAACATAATATATCCCATCACCTTTCATGGGAATTAAGAGTAAAAGTGTTTTGCTTCAATTATCAGGTGTTATTTCTTTCTTCCATATCAGTATATTTATTGATGTGATATGAAGGACGATGGGCAATACAATTTAAGTATCTGAACGACAAAAATTTTTTCATGTTTTGTTTTCGGTTCGCAACTGCAAACATATGGTTTGAGGAGCCATTCAATTGTGTTCGGACCATTCAATTGTGTTCGGAACAACAGATGATCATACTTAGGTTTGGCCTCAAGGAATTCCTTCCTAACAAAGCGAAACAAATACATCGCTATTGTTATCCCTTTCAAACATCTCCGTTTTCAAGGCCATATCACTCCAGTAACGGTTTCAGCCTCATGCTGCTGCTGCTGTGTTTCTTCGAAGCATCTGATAGCCAGGCTTTCCTGATTTTCTTTGTCTTTTTCGGACAGTTGGACAATTGCTTCTGGTACCCAACCAGCACATTTCCTGCTAGTATATCTTAATGTGGAAGTTGCTGACTGGCTGACCTTTGAAAACATTTCTTTAGTTGGGTATTCATTCACCATTTCACAGATGTCGTTAAATTTATAACATTGAGGTGCTTTAATAATTCGGTTTGAAATACTCTTACTGTCTCCAAATCTTAGTCTTTAGATATTTGCTGAAATTAAAAGCATATTGATTTCGTCTAACCGTTTCAGTCTAAAATTTTGCAGAAAAAATGAATTTTTGATAAAAATAGAAATTGCTAAAATACTAATAAGATGGAGCAAAAATGAATAAGTGATTTATATGCTTAATTGATTTAAAACATATCTTCTAAATTTAGGAAAATTACAGGATTTCATGGGAAAAGTGAAATTTTTGCTTATCTCGTTTTTTGATGTTTTCAATGACATAAAATTTGTGGGAAACTATTTCAGCGAATCATTGCTTAATATTATCGATCTTATGACCTGGCCACGATTGCAATTTGATGAAATTACTGGTAAAGTTACTATTTCACTAGAGACATTTTCACTGATTGGGCAATGTGCAGATGCTAACATTTTGTATCGAAATCGATTAAAAATGGTTCTTCAAGTATATTTTATTGATATTTTGGTATAACTCAGGGTAGAATGGTAAAGGATTGTTCCTCAGTTTGGAGCGTCGAGGCTAAAATTTTTTTGTACTCCTGTCAAAAAATCCGGGCGATGTTAGGCTTCATTCTATACTTCTGTCGCCAAAGGACTCCTTGGCATATTTGTTTAGTGCAACAGACCAGTGGAGCTAATCTAACCAGTAATGGTGAGGGATCTTAAAAAAACAGAACAATATGACGATTATGCAGCCATGCAGTATTTTTCCGTATTTTTCATGCAGTTACCAAACGCAATATGTTGAAGGTGGAAGAATTGTTTAAGTGACAAAATAAATCTTAAATACGATTTTTTGCTAAAAAATTTCATCCTTATATTTTTTTGACTTAATCGCAATATTCTTGGAAATTTCTTTTCAAGTGTGAAATAAATTTCCTTTTAGATACAGGCAGTTTATTTACAGTTGTTTTTACCCATACCTAGTTTTCTTTTCAGCGTGTTCAACGTAGCAGTTTATTTGATCGACATCGTCTGACATTTGTCGAAGTACTTTTAGGATCAACAGAAAAAGTTGATGATGTAATATTGCTTGGGATGCTAATTCAGACGAGTGTAAATAGTTATCAGATTGAAGATCTAACAGGTACCTAGCTGGAACAGATAATTAACTAATTGAATAGAATTTTTGATATGTTTGCATAATGATTCTCATTTATATATATATATATATAACATATTGTAATTTCTTGCTTTAGCGAGAATATTTTTTTAATATGAAGAATATGTAGTGTGATTTTTTCTCTAATAATATGGACATATTTATAGAAGAAGACAAGTCGGGGACTCATTATTCCATGAAGGATTTATTTTTAATTCTGTAATTTTATAAACGTAAAAAATTCAGGATCAATGGAAGTAGATCTGAATGGTGCAAAATTTTATTCTGGTCTTTTTACTGATGGTTGTATTATGTTGATGGAAGGGCATTACAATAAAGGTATACTGTATGTAAATGGCATTGGTTTGGCTCCAATTGAGACAGCTGATGAAACAAGAGCTCACATTGGTCAGGAAAATTGGTTCGGTGGAGAATCTAGTATTGCAGTACGTGAAGTACCTAGATTAGTGAATGCTTGTCGGAAGAATCTTGATGCAAGCATTATATTCGCTTCTGATGTTTGGTTGGATGATCAGAGGGTAGGTCGATTCATATTTTTGTTAATTATTTGTTTTTACCCATCTCATTTTTTGTAATTTAAAAAAAATCCCTTTCTTATACCTTGTGGGCGATAAGGCTTATCCTTAATCTCGGGTCCTCTACCAGAGACCTCGAAGAATGAGGGTGCATTACCTTAGCTGTTTCTGAATGCTCCAATTATTACTGAGATTGCTGTGGCTTTCTGCATCTTCTCCAGTTCCTATTCCAGCTTTTAGTATTTCTTTAACTTCTCGTATTCGTTTTTCCTAACGTTCATGTCACTTGGATATTGCTATATCTATACCAGTGCTGATTTCTCATTCTTGTCTACCATGATATCTTGATTATTCAGTATTAGTTTCTCTATCTGGATAAAGAAATCCACAGTTCGCCTTATTTCCCACGATTTTCTGAGGAATCTTCCTCAGTGTCTTGGGAGTATAATCCATATATTCAGCAGATATTCCTAAATGATGTCTAATTGGTTGTACCTTTAACTACTTCTTCTAGCAGCTTTTATTATTACTGGTTAGGCTAGCTGCACTGGCGTCAACGGTAGGATGTTTCCAAGCTGCGCGATCTGATGCCATCGTCGACATAGAAATTTTTCTTATTCCACCGTCTAAGTCCATATATCGCTGGTGCCTTTATATTATTTAAGTTTGAGAAGAAAGGAAGGAAATAAATATAAACATTCCGTTGGCAATTAATTTGTTAATAATGTCGGAGACAAAAAAAAATTTCCAATCTTGAGCGGTTGTGTTTCTATTTCGCTGTTATATTTTTACGCTTTTCTGTCGGAATATTTTTAGAATTTCTATAAATAAAAGCTAAGTTTTTTTTCTAAATTTAAAAAACAAAGAATTGAAATAAAAAGTATATACATAAAATTTATAATAATATAAAATAATTATGTTTTTGATAGGAGTAAGCCTGTCGTGTCAAAAATCCGAGTGGTTGCTGGGACCCACTTTTAAGTCTATCCCGAAGTGACTCTATGGTGAAAGGGTTAGATATTTTTGATACGGTGTCCACTCCTTCCGATGCGCATGATTCTCCCAGTCCGGTGATACATGTGATAATTATACAATCCGTGCCTAAAGTGGTCCCAAGGCTGATAAATAAAGTATGCTTGTAAGCCAAGGTAATTGCTCGAAACCTATCAAGGGGAACAGCTCTCTGCTCACGCGGCTAGGTATTAGCTGTATCAGCGTGGAACGACAGAACGCTTATGGACGTTGAAAATCGAGCGATCACTATCCACACCTTTTCTAAATATCGTGTGGATATTGCCTGCTTGTCGGAGGTCCATATTCCTCACTTCGGATCTCGAGTAATTACAAAACGGGCAATCTTTATGGATCTGACCCTGTTATGATTCGAGCATAAAATTGACAACTCGCCAGAAAAAAGCATCCCTCAAGATCCTTCAACTATTTCAAACTAAAAAATTTGGGAACAGTGAGCGCATTTCAAACCGTATTATTGAAATATCTCTATGAATATCAATGACTTTTCTGGAACGGCAAACGATTACTGATCCAAAGTAAAGGAATGTCTCTGAAATTCAGCCATTTCCACGTTAGGGCATGCTAGTAGGAAGTCTGCTAGTTGAGTATCGAAGTATCGGAAGCAACTGTCCAACTGTCTGAAAAAGCTACCAAAGCACGAGTGTAAGGTGATCCTGACCAGGTGTTTCGAAGATGTGCAATGAAAGCAGCACAGCGGGACAGAAATCACTATTGGAGTGACATGGCTTTGAGAATAGAGACGGCGGCTCGATTAGACGATAATAGGAAACTATTCCTCTTTCTTCATAAAGCAACTATAACTCGGGAAACGATCAGTGAAATGATAAGGGATAGCAATGGCGTGCCGATTAAGAGTATTAAGGACCGACTCATAAGATAGAAAGAATTCTTTGAGGCCAAACTTAACCATGAAGTGCCATCTATTGTCCCTGATGTAGCTTATACGTTTGCCGAAGCATGCGCTTGCAATTGCGCTTGTCCAACAGAAGAAGAAATAATCTCCGTTATCCATAAGCTTAAGGCCAATAAGACTCTGGGAGGTGGTTTTCAAATGTCTATCGTCCTTCATAAAGGCACCTTCAACAAATGTACTCTATGGTATGGAAAAAAGAAATATTAATTCTATTCGCAATCTTCAAGAAAGATGACAAGACATATTGCGACAATTATCGAGGAATCAGCCTGCTGGAGTCTCAGCGAAAATTTTTGCTTCCTTTCAGTAGACTTATGGAAGTATGGGACAACCTTAAGCAAGCTGAATTCGGAGCGGGGTGCGGTTGTGCTGACCAGGTAATCATATCGAGAAGAATGTTGAACATCGCATCAACAATCCATCATCACATGTTTCATCGATTTCGCAGCTGTCATCGATTCAATTCAGCGCTTTGGACGATCATGGAATGTGATGGTGTTTCAAAGAAGAACGTATAAAGGCATTTTATGAGGGTACATCGGCGCATATAGAACTGTAAGAATTCTTTGAAATAAGAAATGGTGTTCGTCAGGATTGTATCCTTTTCTTTACAATATTCAACTCTGCGATAGATTGGATAATGGACATCGCTTGTCGGCACACAAGAGGTGTTCAAATCAGTTCAGATATCACAGATTTTGAATGCGCTGATGATGTAGTCCTTTTTGCTTAAAATTATGACAAATAATGTTAAAGGTATCAGCTACTGTAGCGAAAATCGGACTCAGAGTCAGTGTAAATAGAACGGAAATGTGCAAGAAGTTGATAAAATGTCTCTTTTTATAAATTCATTGCCAGTTGAGGAAGTGTCCGATTTTAAATACCTTGGATCCACTCTAATATCAAATGGAAAGGCAAAAAATGATATTACAACTCGGATCACGGCAGCTAGAAATGCGTTCTTCCGGTTGGCGAAACCTTTATGGAGCTGTCGTGAAATTACCATAAAAACGAAAGTCCGTATCTATATAGCCGTGATTAATTCGATCTTGCTATATGACTCTGAGGCATGGCCAATGAGAGAGAGGACATTAAGGAGTTATCTTCCTTTGACCACTCTTGTTTAAAGTACTTTTTATGGGTCTGTCGAGCGGATAAAATATCACATGATTACATCCACTTTCGTTCAAATAGCGCTTCCATTAATAACTGTTATCACAGAGCGTTGCCTTCGCTCTGGTTAGGGCGTTCTTCGTCGTCCACCACAAGAGTTGATATTTCGCTAAAACGTGTAATGGGTGACATCAAAAGCGGGGCGATTCAATCAAAGACCTTTACTGATACGGTCAGGAAAGATTTTGAACGTATGGGTGGACCAGCAGTATATTTGGACGATGGAAAAAGGAATGGCTTCTATTACTATCGACCATGGCGTCTGACTGCGTCGCTTGGAACTCTTATAGCTCTTGAAGCCAACCTAGCCAGTAATGGTGAGAACTATTAGAAGATGAAGAAGAAAGATTTTTTTATATATTCAGAATCTTTCCTGACTTTATCAGTCCAGGCCTTGATTGGTCCACCTCGCTTTGACACTATCCATCATAAGATTTAGCAAGTAACGAAGTATATGTCAACATTTGTGGTGGGCTGCGAAGAATGTGCCCTAAACGGTGAAGGCAACGTTTTGTAATGGTATTGTTAATGTGGTATTTGAACGAAAGTGGTTGCGATCATGTGAGATTTTATCCGCTTGGCCTGCCCATAAAATGTATATTAAATATGAGTGGTCAAAGGATGATCTTAATATTTTCCACTCTCATTGGTCATTTCCATATAGCAACATCGAGCGAATCGCAGCTATATAGACGTAGACCTTTTTATGGTAATTTTACGGCAGTTTCGTAAAGGTTCATCAATCGGAAGAAAGCATCTAGTTACCATTATCCGTATTATACTTCTATCTTTCGCTTGGCTATCTGGAATTAGGGTGGATTCAGGATATTGAAGCACTAGCATTTCCTCAATCGGCAGTGAAATTGATAAAAATAGGTATTTTATTAGCTTCTTGTCTATAGCATTTTATTTACATTGATCCTGGGTCCGGTTCTCGCTGCAGTTGCTGAACGTTGTTTAGTTGTTTAGCATCATTTGCATTTCGTCATAACTATCAGTAAAAAGAAAAGTAAAAAGAACTGTATTAGCATATTCAAGATCTGTGGTACGATACTCTGGATTGATTTGTATATCGACAAGCGGTGTCCATTATCCATTCTATCACCTAGTTGAGTATTATAGCGTTAACACGCATACATTGCTATCCCGTACCATTTCATTGGTCATTCTTCGAATTATAGTTATTTTATGAAGAAGACGGAATAATTCTTTGTTATCGCCTAATCGAGTAGCCGTCTCCATTCTCAAAGCCATCTCGCTGCAATAGCGATTTTTGTCCCGTCGTGCTGCTATCGTTGCAATTCTTCGAAGATAGCAGGATTTCCTGGCATCCCGACTTTGACAACTTTTTCAGACAGTTGGACGTTGCTTCTGATGCCTAACTAATGCAATTCCTACTATTATGACCTAGCGTGGAAGTGGCTGATTTTCGAAGACATTCCTTTAGTTGGGGCCAACATTCATTTGCCGTTTCAGTGAAAATCATTGATATTTATACCATTGAGATGCATCAATAATTCGGTTTGAAATATGCTCATTGTCTTCGAATCTTTCAGTTTAAGGTAGTTGAAAAGTCTTGGGGGACGTTGCTTCTTGCGAGTTGTAAGTTTTATGCCAATTCAAACCAAAGCAAACCAATGGTTAGATCCATTAATGTTGCTCATTTCAGCAATACAATAGATTTGTCTAGTACGGAACTCTTGCAACGACGACCATCTCAGCAATCTATGCGCATTCCAGTCTCTCTTGATTATGATCATGTCATGTTTCGGTACAGACTTTGTTAGCAGTTGAAGTTCCGCTTAGAGTTTATTTTTATCACCGTCATCTGCGGCGAAAATGGAGCACTGTATATATACTGATGACCGAGATATTGCAGAACTTACTCTTAAAACGGGATTGGCCATAAGGTCGCTTACCGGTTTCGACTTAATCAAAGCGGAGTGGGCCTTGTTAGACATGACAATCGCTAGCCATTTCATCACGAGTTATCCAAACATTACAATGACATAACCAATATCTTTGCTCGCATCCATGTTTGCACGAGACCCAAAGTGAGAAAGAAGGACCTCCGACAAGCAGGTGATATCCACACGGTATTTAGAAAGAGTGTGGGAGTGATCGCTTGGTTTGCAACGTCCTTAAGCATTCTGACGTTCTTTGCTGCTGCGGCTAAATTTCGACCCGCAGAGAGCCGTTTCCCTTGGCAGGTTTCGACCATTTGCCCTGGTTTGTGAGCCACATTTTATTTACAAGCATTGGAATCGTTTTGCACTCGAACTATATACTTTTCATATATACCATACCACCGAGCTGGGAATGTCAAGATGCCTTTCAATACACTGGTATGTTTTTCTTGCTTGCAGTTCCTGCATTATGTGTCGGACTGTTTCTTAAGCGTTTTTATATAATGCTTAGAATCCTATATATCCTTGCTTCAATGGATCTGGTGCTTAGTACTATATGTGGATGAGAAAACTATTATAGTAAAGTATTATTGTATCTGCAGGTGTTATTAAAAATTCAGTTTTTATTTTTTAATTTAGGAATTATTTAGAACGATTACTTTTTTTATTCTTTAGCAGTGATTTAAGAAAATTGAGTATATTATAATTCGTTTTTTTGGTTATTTTTTTCTGTATTAACCTTATATGATTGCCTGGATAAATTTTTCTGCCATATATCCCATTGAATAACAATATTTCAGGTATTAACAGGAATATCTGAAATGCTTTCTGGCTTTGCATCATGTCAACCAATAGCTTTTGTTTTTTGTGGTAATTTTTGTTCTACAGCTGCTCCAGAAAATGAAAAGAATCTTATTGGTAATTTTTTTCCTTGTTAAATAATTTTCATTCATTTGGTTTCAAATGGAATTAATTTTTTGACTGAGTGTGATTGACTGAGATTTTTCTATGTCTTACAGATGTTGACTTTATCAAAATTAAAGAGTAAATAATTATAAAAGTAAGTATTAAATAATTATGGTAAAAATGTTTTTCGGCCAGTTTATTCATTAGTTTGGTTGGCTAAGATGATTTTTATCAGTTTTATGATATATAATTCAGCTTTCAGTACTTTTATTGAGAACTCAGATTTTTCTATGTTTCTCACAGATGTTGACTTTATTTTTAATAGTGTTTAATAGTTTGTCGTAATAGATTTCATGTTTTGAATTTCTCTCTTTCATCTTTTAGCTGTTTTAATTTCAGGAGGCTTTCATGACCTAGCTGAAATAATAAAGGAAAAAACTCAAGTTCAAAATCAGTTGGCTAAAACACAATTTATTTTTATTCCTGGACCAGATGATCCATCGCTCAGTGGCTTTTTGCCGAAGTCTGTTTGTTTTCATTTTACAGTTTTTCATTAACATCCACACAAGCTTCTTTAACCTATTTTTGAATTGAGTTCAGAATGAGATGTTCTTTCAGGCCACGACTTCCTTCATACCTTGTTGATGTTTTCATGGATATTCCCAACTGTAAATTTTCTTCAAACCCATGTCGAATTCAATATGCATCTCGCGAAATAACGATTATACGTCAAGATATTATTGAGCGAATGAGCAGGAACAGCATTCATGTACCATCTGATGCAGTTGATATTGCGAATCATGTAAGTTAAAAATTAACACCATCTTCACTCATTTTATTTCAAAAATTTACTTTCCCACTTAACATCAGTTGGTTATTTTTGCTACGTTTATTACAGTGGGTTTGTGGATTTATCCTAAGTTTCAGCTATTTGCGATTCGTGCTTCATTACTATAAGTCTTTTATCTATCAAATTTGACCTAATGTCTTTTTACATATATGAAATCTAAATTAATTGTAGTTTTGCCGTACTATTGCATCTGTTGGTCATTTGGCTCCTCTACCTCTGAATGTTTCACCAGTATTGTGGCAAATGGATCACTGCTTAACAATTTTTCCTCTTCCTGATTTGGTTGTCGTCGCTGATCGGTTCCAGTCATTCGCTATTAATCAGCATGGTTGTTTATTTGCTAATCCAGGCTCTTTCGCTCGTTCAGGACTAGACTTTTATGTATATTATCCTGCTTTAAATGAAGTTGAATTAAGCCGAATACCTTCATAATTGTCATATTTCAAACTTTATATCAACTATATAATCCCTTCAAATAATTGATTGTTCTATACGTTAATCTATACAACAATTTGTTAGTTTATGCATCCTCAAACAAACACATCATTCGCCGTTTTATCAAAGTTCTTCCCAGTCGCTTTTCTAGAATCCTTCCTCTTCATCCACCGTGCACCATTTGTATTAGTTATTATCACTTTAGGTCTTACATAGAACCCTGCCTTATGTTCCTAACATGCCTTATGTCCTTTCCAATGCCCTATCTATATTCTTCATCAGCAACATTTTCTTTAAACATTTTATGCTTGCTGAATCCCATAAACATCGGAATAAAACTGTTTTGAATAAAACTAATATTTTTAAACAATTTTATTTATTTATAGTTAGTTATTAGGACATATTACGTTATAGAACATATAAACAGTTAATAGTGAAAACTGGATACATTGCTAAAAATTATTAAAAAAACAAAAGCAAAAAAGATTCAAGTGCTTATCAAACACAGCTAAGAAAATTATCTATATTTTAAATATAAATTAGTGAGAAAACTGCTCTTGAATATTTGATGCCAAATTGGCTGTATCTGGTTTTGTTGTCATATTTATTCATATAGGTCGTCATTCAGGATTTTTATCTAATATATTTTTTATCGGACGATTTCCATGGAAAAATTTTTTTAATTTCAATGAAAAAACTTGTTCAAAAATGTGACTATTTCCAAATAAACATGTATCGATGAAAGTTAATTTAATATATAATTAATGTATTAATATATAATTAATGTAAGATATTTATGGAAATGTATGTAAGGGATACTAAGCATGAATTTGCTGCTCCTATTATTCCTATTAAAAAATTTTAGAGCTGGCCGCAAAATTTTTAAAACGTTGACTTCATGGAGTGCTGGTATTTTGTTAAGCTCGCTCATAGTAACCTGGACCGTTAAGGTAACTAAACTCTCTGCCCGCTAAATTTATTAGAAATCTGTCATACCATCTAAATGATTCCACCATGTTTAAATTGTGTTTTATTAAAAAAAAGTTCAGAAATCCCTCTTCGTTTCAAGCGTCTAAGGCACATATGTGCTTAAGGGACGAAACACATGGCACACATGGAGAAGGATCGCGCAGTATAGTAAAAGTAACATTTATGGAAATTTATGAAAAAATAGCGGAATTCAAGGAGGCGTTAGAGTTTTTGACAAGATTTCAATTTGTCTGCTTTTTTCATTGCTTCTTTACGTTTATGAAGGAGTGCTTTTCATTTATTTTATTTGATTTCATTTTTTGTTTCATTTTGTTACTTTTCATTTATCTGTTATATTTGGTGGATTTTTTTCTCAGATTTGTTGAGGAATTCATAGGCAATCATTTTTCTACAATTATGTGTAGCCTATCGTTTTTTCGCTTTTATAGTGCCGTGTCCACAGAGTTCAGAAATTCTTTAAAAAGTATTTTTTCAAATTGGAATCTTAAATAATAAAATCAGTTTGGTTTTAATGGTGATAATTTTAATGATTTTATTCACATTATATTAGCAATTTTGAAAATTTTGCTCATGTCACATACATAGCTTTTGTTTTTTACGATGTTTTGCAAGTGCTATTCCAGAATAACTAATTCTTATACTCGATTTTTGTTTTGGCAGATGAATGTTCATTTAGTTGGTACATCGATCAACATTAAATTTGACGTATATCAGGAAATTTTTTGCAATATTCATGGAGTTATTCAACGAAGGATATTTTGTTTGCCATTTTGTTTTATTTTCTGTGTGAATCTTCCGAAAATATTGCATCTTTCGACTCATATAATATTTTCCAACTTTTGTTGTAGTTCAAATGATAAAATAGTATTTTTATCAAGTTGAGAGTTTTATAAACGAACGACGAATAAAAACATTAAATTGATAAAACAATTGTCAATTGGATGTTAGCAAACGAAAATGGTTGGCTAGTTGGTGGCACAACGTTTCGCATTTATTTATCGATCATGAGCGAAACGCTATTCTACTGATATCAAACATTCATTCCATTCCCAGTTTCTATTGATTATTCGTCAAAATTAGGCTTGTTTAGCTAATAGGAACTTTTTTATCGTCTTGGCTTTTGCATTTGTTTAAATTATTTCGGAATCGAAATATTTGTTCTTTTATACAAATTGCTCCTTTTTCATTCATTTTTTGGAATCGAATTTTAATATGAATTTTAATAAATTTTGGTTTAACGATGATTGGATGCATATGTTGATTAGACTTCAACGAAACACTTCAAGAAAACAAAATCTCGTTGAGGACGATTTGCAAAAATGTCCTAGTTAGGGTTCACTTCCATTATTTAACGGCCTTATTAGTTATTATTCTCTGAATAGGTGGAATTTCAGCTTGTATTTCCTTTCATGCAAGGACGAGCTTTAAAGTACTTCTATGAATATCAATAATTTATAATGCTGATTTCATCAAAAATCTAGGATTTGAACGGTAAATTTTAGATTCGCGAAACTGACAAAATTTGGTTATAGGCAAAATTAATAGGCATTTTTTATTGTCAATGAAATGCAATGACAGTTTCGTTGTGGTGAGGAATGTTTTTGTCAAAGCATTTGATAAGATTGCCGATGTATATTTTTATAATTGGACAAAGAAAGCAATGAGGCCAGGTTGATTACAATCCCAAGAGTTGCAAAATAATAAAAACGGCCTTAGTAATTTAAGAAGATTCGTCGAAGAATTTTATCTAACGTTTATTATGTATGTGGTGCGAAAAAATATTAGAATGATCAGTTTACGCATCCGAAAATCACTATATGTCGTGTATATTTTTTTCTTTCTTCGGTTTCACCGGAGATATTCGGCACAAAAGACTTTTCAACAAAAACTTGATGATACCGTAATCTTGAATCGGAAAATAACCATTCGATTTAAAATGTACTAATTTTGATGTTCTGCGTACAGTCTACATCAGTAGAGATAAGATACGTAAGATATATGTTATGACTGCATTTTTGAGGCTCACTAAATTCAAACGGTGAATAATGTTGAAGCGAAAAAAGCGTAGCACAGTGAGAATTTGTAACGGAAAAGTGGTAGGTGATTTGGCGTTTTGATTTGGTCTTTAGTTCGGGTAGTGGTCTCCTGTTTCTAGCGCTCTAGTTTTTACGTTATATGGTTCTATTTTGTTTAATGCACCAGTTAATTTTTTCGCTTATTTTCTGGGTTTTTTTCGGTACCAGTGATTTTCTTGCGTCGATTTCACTTCGTTTATCCGATGCTTCACCACTTTTATTATAGTGTTATGAGCAGTCGCCTTTTTTTGCTGTCTGAAACCCTGCTTTTAATATTTTTCAGCCCAAACTTTACCAAGATAGCATGCTTCAAATCTAATGGTACTCAAGATTTACATGGTTTTCAATGATTTTTTAAAATTCATTTTTGGCACTATTTTTGGGAAGATTTTATCGCAGAGCTGTTTAACGCTTGCTAACTCCTTTTCTTTTGCATTTTCAGCTTTAGTTCAAAAATGAATGGAAAGCATTCAGATGGAGGAGGATAGGCTTGGAATGACTATTAGTGGTGATGTCGCAGAACTGATAAAAGATGAAAAAGGAGTTATTGGAGTGACAATTGGTGGTGGTGCACCATATTGCCCATGTCTCTATATTGTACAAGTTTTTGATGATTCACCTGCTGCAAGCGATGGGCGATTAAAGGCTGGCGATGAAATTTTTAGGTGGATTTTTGATAAAAGAAAACTTTGATAAACTTTATTGAAAATGCTTCAAAATTACGAAAATTCGATATTACAGTATTTGTTACCATAAAAAATGAAAATTTTGCGATATGGTCTAAAATGTGTCAGTGAAATAAAAAGAATTTCAAAATATTTTGCGGTTATTTTGTTTTGTTCAATTTGCAGCATAAATGGTGTGCCTGTTAAAGGTGAGAAGAAAACCAGCGTTGCGGCAATGATTCAAAAAGCTGAAGGTCCAATAAAAATTGGATTCAATGTGTTACACACTGATCCTAAACAAGTAGTTCTAACATCTGTCTCCATTTATATCTAAATCTCTTATTGTTTTATCATATTTAAAAATTTCATTCTTTTCACTTTATTTCTCAAATTCAGGGACATACACTTGATATTGCATTGAAAAAAATGAAACACAGAGTAGTCGAATCAATGACTTCAGAGGCCGCAGATACCCTCGGTCTTTCGAGAGCGATTCTTTGTAACGATTTGCTAGTAAAGAAACTCAACAAATTGGAGCATAGTTGTAGCGTTTATAAAAAACTCATCGGACATCTCGGTACATTGCTCGCTTCACAATACCGTTTTGCGCATACACAAAAAGGTTTGCTGTTCATTCATTGATACTACACATTTTATCAGAGCAATGGTTCTAGTTTTCTTTTCTTGTTATAACCCGGCAACAGTCATAGAAGTTTTTGATATACTGGATGTACTTAATTTTGGTGATACATTGCAAATAACCATCTATTTCAAGCAATCAAATTTTATAGGCATCGATGAAGCTATTTGAGAAGACACTGAATGCAATCCACATTGAAAGTTACTCATTCCTTTCACTATAGTTAACATGCCATCAAATAAAATCAAAATACCTGCTAGGAACCCACTGAGGTGATTGGCAAATAACTCTAAGTCTAATATTCAGCTTAGCCAGTCAGCTAAATGATGCGCTCTGTTAGAAGAAAAAGATAAGCGAAAAAATTATAATTACAAAAGTAAAATCAAAAATGTTAGATTTCAGGATTCGGTGATATATTTTGTGAAATTGCTAGCCATGAAAGTTCGTCGAATGCAAATGTTGCATTCAATACGTTCGGTGAAGTGCATCGATTTATTGAAAAACAAACGCTCAAGTAAGTTTCTGAAAAACTTTTATTAATCTGATTACTAAATTGATTTGTAAACTTATCCAACTATTTAAAAACGGTAAAAAATTGAAAGATTGAAATTGATGCTATTTTAAATGTTTTCAAATGTTTATTTGGTCTTTTGTTTCTCAATGAATTCTTTTTTGCACTAATGGAGCATTTTAATGGGATTTTCGCAAATTTCATAAAATTGATTATATATGCATACATTTTTATTAGTTTATGTTGCAGATTAATACAAAGCTTGCATCTTATTGTAAAGGACTTGAACACATTTGTCGACAAAGCGATACCGGACACGAAGTTGACGCTTAAGAAATATTTGGACGTAAAATTTGAATACCTATCATTCTGTTTAAAGTTGAAAGAAATGGACGATGAGGAGATACAATTTGCCAATATAGAAGAACCCCTATATCGAGTTGAAACGGGAAATTATGAATATCGGTATATTCCATCTTATGGGTTCTCTGGCAGTGGAATTTTTATTTTCATATAATTATTTCTTGAATGGGCATTATAGCTTTAAAACATTAAAATTTTGCAGTTTGATGTTACGTTGTCGACAAGATAGTAGAGATAAATTTCTGAAATTAAGAAAAGATGTTATGGTCAAACTCGAACTGCTCGATCAAAAACATGGTAAACAGTTTCATTCAATTTTACTAGAAAAATTATCTATATATTTTCACGGTGTTTTTCTATCAGTTTTTAAACAATTTCACTACTCTTCTGTCGCTAAAAATTCAGATTTGTTTCTAAAATCGGCATTCAATCGGCTTTCTAAACTTTACAAAAAAGGTTCAGACAGATATTGATACGATGCTACTCATATTAAAAAGATTACGATGCAATTCAAGAGAGTTAAAATGGGTTTAAGGCATCAGTCTTTAACGAAATGTGATAAGAAAATGTGATAAGATGACATCAAAGAATTACTATGGTGAGCCAAGATTCAGTCAGTGTAACTGATTTTTACGGGGCAACAAAAAGATATAATGATGTATAACAGTATGTTTAGAGCACCATGACCTGTCAGATTAACGAAGTGTAAGCTTAAGGAGGCATTGCTAATTGATTGCAATGGTTTAATACGCTAATGAGAAGGATTAAAGAGATTTTGAGGATTTGAGGTTAGAATAAGCTTATGCGTTGGTGACCCAGTGATACGATAATTGCCACCGAGAAGCGACGGTTAGGTTCGAATTTGATCAACGCACCATGTTTCGTTGGGCTGCAGTGATGCTACTGTTACTACTGTTATTTTCTTCATTTATTGTTTTTTACTAACGAATTTTGTAGAGTTTTTCTTTTGCTTCATTGTTTTTTAACCTAGTACAAGATATTGCTATGCAACTTTCGATTTTCATAAAAGCAGTAATATATGCACACAGTGAATGCAAGATAATTGTCGAGAAAGCTAACGGACTATTCCCTATCGAAATTGATCTATCGCAGGTATTTTTCAGATTCACGTATTGTAAATTATGGTCAACGTGATTATATTCAAATTAAAGGATTGTTTGTCGATATACATGGATTATACACTTCATCAGTATTATTTTTCTCATTAGCTTCCCTTGAACTTCATGAGTGCTTTTTTAGATTGTTTGTAAATACAATCCATCTGGACGCTTAATGGAAGAAGAACAGTCGTCAAATACTACAAATAACGGTTCCGATGAGGAAATATCGTCAAATATTGCAACTGAAAACCTTGTCGATATATCATGATCCACCAACTTTACAATGACCAGATAAAAATATCTCTTGCAGCTTGCTGATCTTGCCGACAACAATGCAAGTACAAAATAAGATGTGGTTCTGCTTAATTGTCATCGCATGATAGATTTAGATGAAAAAACGCGAAAATCTTTGGAAAAGTTTTCAATATGACAGATTATAATACTTAGATTGGTAAAAAAAACCTATTAAACAGTGGATTTCTCAAACTCTGGCATACCCTCCTTATATTATAAAAGTCATTATATTATCTCACCTCTTTGAACCCTATTGTTTCCGCACCCACCAACTTCCCATAATTCTCTATCAGTCTCCAGTCCTCCAGTCCTCTCCAGTCTCCAGTCCTTGGTATACTTCAATACAGTAGAGACACATCATTATGCTATTCTTGCAATTTTATTATATGTAACCGAGACGGTAGTAAAAGTGCAGGGATTTAGGAGATTTAGTAGGGTGTTGAGTAAAATATTAAAAAGATTACGATGCAATTCAAGAGAGTTAAAATGGGTTTAAGGCATCAGTCTTTAACGAAATGTGGTAAGTTTTAGGAGACATCAAAAAATTACTATGGCGAGCCAAGATTCAGTCAGTGTAACTGATTTTTACGGGGCAACAAAAAGGTATAATGATGTATAACAGTATGTTTAGAGCACCATGACCAGATCTGTCAGATTAACGAAGTGTAAGCTTAAGGAGGCATTGCTAATTGATTGCAATGGTTTAATACGCTAATGAGAAGGATTAAAGAGATTTTGAGGATTTGAACGGTTAGAATAAGCTAATGCGTTGGTGACCCAATGATACGATAATTGTCACCGCGAAGCGACGGTTAGGTTCGAATTTGATCAATCCACCATGTTTCGTTGGGCTGCAGTGTCGCCTAACAGAGAAACCAAAGAATAGAGCAAAATGGCTCAGTAGGTTGTTGCTAAACTCAGCTACATTTCTATCGCCAAGGGACTCCCTGGCATATTTGTCCCGATAGGTCAGCGAAGCAACCCTAAACAGCAATGGTGAGTGCTGGTTTTGAAGATATGGTTATTTATAAGGATGGTTGTAAGAAGTTTTGTGGTAATTTTATTATCGGGGCTTGCATAAACGAGTTTGATAGCGAAGTTTGATGGTTCGAGGGTCAAGCACCATGATAGGTTCCGAGGAAGTTATTGCGAAGAAATAGCAGTATTTGATAGGTATTTGATATTTGATAGGTTATTATGGTAATCAAAAAGAATATCGTCATAATGGGTTTAAAATGGCGAATGTGGAATGAGCTTTAAAAGGAACTTTGTTAAGTATTTACTGTTAAGATATTTAAAGGATAATGGATAGACAAAATATTTCAAAACGCAAAATAATGCATATAGATGAATTCTTTTTCGAGAAAGCATACACACTAATATAGCAAAATTTTATACGCAAAATTTTTTTTTCTAAATTTATAGTGATAATCAGTCCATCAAAAAGAATTTTTTTTTCAAACAACATTTATATATTTATTGAAAACCAACCAAGTGGAGCGACAAAAGCCATGTGCCTGTATTTATAACAACAGTTAAAATAATAAATAATGAGAATTAATGATGAAAGAAAAAAGAAAATATGACAAAAAATTAACAATTTAAAGAAGAAATAAAGAGGAAATTACAAAATAATATAAAATAATATAGTACAATTCGAAATAACTATAATCGGATGGTAAAAATCGAGATTTCACATTTCTTGCATCATTTAAACTTTTTAAATAATATTATAAATGATATTATCTAATCTTTTTTTAAAGATAGGGATGGCGCATAAGCTATATCGTTCGGTAATTTATTCCAGTAATTAATTGTACTAATAAATAAATCATGATTCCTTAGTTTAATTTTACATATATATTTTAGTAATTTTAGCACATTAGTTCTTGCTGGATTCAAATTTAGCCTAAAATTATGATATTTTGAATAATCTAGTTTAACATAACCATACAGAATCTTATATACACATATATTTATTTAACATAATTTAGCCTAAGCCTAAGCCTAACCAGTAATGGTGAGAGTTGTTAGAAGAAGAAGAACCTTATAAGTATAAATTAAATCTTGTTTAATACGACTTACTGAAAGAGAATCCAGGTTAGAAGTTATAGAAGTTCTCTTTTATAATTAAAATTGCAATTAGGAGAGAGGCCTCGTATAAAATATCCTTGGAGTCCTCCAATTATTTTAATTGGTTTATGATATCTCATGGAGTAATATGTAGTATTGTAATCATGAAGGCTGAACAAACGCTTCATACATTTTGATTAGAAAACCTTCAGTTTTGTTCTTAAACGAACGAAAAATAAAATTCAGTATCTTTGAGAATTTCTTTGCCATGGTTCTGCAGTGAAGGTCAAAATCAAGATTTTCACCCATGATTATTTCAAGATCAAAAATGTGTGAGACTCTAAGGATTATATTACCATTAATAAAAAGATTAGAAAAATCGAAAACCGAAACCTTTAGAATTAATATGAAGAACGCTATATTTTTGAAAGGAAAGGTTTATATATTCAATAATACCATTCAATAATGATGAAAATTTTCCTTTCAAGAAGGCATCCTCGCAAATACTTTTTGATGAAAATATATAACTCTGCTGCAAAATTATGAAAAAATTAGAATTGTATTCCATGAACAGCAATAAGAATTAGAAAATTCGAAAAAGGCTGTATAAAAATTACATCCCTGAATATTGACTTATTAAAATGTAATTGAAATTGTTCGCCCAACACCATTCATCATTTTTAGTTTGGATGGTTGCACAGACTATTAGGTTTCGTAATTTAAAGAATGAAAGTAGAGCTGAGTCGTTAGTACCACTCGAGTTTCATCTTCAATTCCAGATTTACTCCATGAAGGGTAAAATCATAAATAAATTATTACTTATGATGGCTTAGTCTTATTGGAACTAAACAACATTATAAACCTAATTCAGTGAAATGAACGATCGAACTTTTCTTTCGACCATTCTTATAAACTGCTCGAGAAAATATGTAATTTTCACAAAATTGAAATATCCGACAACATATTTGGTTTAAAAAAACTTTGGTTAAAACTTTAAGAAATTTTCTTTTATTTTAAGAGGCACCTTTTTTTGCAGAGAAATTCATAAAGGTTTTTCGTTTTTGCATCATTTTTTTCGATTTAAATTAATTTAATAAAAAGAATTTGCGTGATTCGATCTGCACCTATTACAGTTTTCTAGCTTTTTACATTTGATTAAATCATTCTTTTTACAAAAAAAAAAAGAAATGATGGAGGAAATGTGCTAAAAGTCAGCAGATCTGGCTTAACCAAAAGTGATGGGAGCTAATTATGATAATGGTGAGATAATGGTGATTTTGGCGAGGATAGTTTTTCTAGGTTACATGCTTTCCTCATATTTGCGCTTTTTCATATAATCATGATAGTCGAAGATTTATGATTGATTTGTGATTGAATAATATTTTTTCTAGAAAACGAATATTTTATTCGAGAAAACGAATATTTCGTTATTTTTGGCTATAAAGTATCGAAAATGATAAGGCAAAAGTTCAAAAATTCGTTGTTGACAACAAATAAGACATTAAAGATCCAATTGAGGTACAAAAAAATTAAGTCGATCACTTTACTAGTCTCCAAAAATTAAAAGCTTAAGTTTACAATTTTTGATTTATAAATTTGTTAGGTTATTACTGCCTTCCGAAAGTTATTTGTGCATTCTTGCATTAGCTAAACGAACATTCCTTCGGCGTTTCTCGCTTTCTGTTTTATCTTTTTAAAAGACATTTTACTTTTCTCTAATTTTTCAACTCTTTAAAGGTTTTAACTATTTGCATTCACTTCTATTCTCCTTAAATATATTAAATATATTTGTTATCCTCTTTGTTATATGTAAAAAAAGCTTAATTTTAAATTTTAAAGCTTAGTGTAAAAAAAGCTTGACTTAAATTTGGAAAAGCTTTTCCGTCAACTTTTATTCTTTAAATAAATTAATATAAATAGTTAATCTAATTATCTGATCCGTAATATCCTTCATCAAAATGTGTGAAAATATCGAAAATTAAATCTGCACTTTTACGTCATTATTCATGAATTCCGACTAAAGTATTTTGTACATCAATGCAGATTGCACGGTGATCGAATGTTCTAATTTGCCACTAGAAGGGAAGTCCATGAAGTACAGATCGCTTATGAAACCATAGACGATCAAGACTGTGCAAATAATTTTTGATGATTTACATAAATTTTTTTGAGGAATACAAGGAAGGGGTGAGTGAAACATTAGAATTAACAAATTTTGATGAAGCATTGACTGTAAACTTTGCAGTGGATGTCGCTTGATGGATTGGTTATTTAAGATTTTCTCCTTGATGGATTTGTTATTCGAGATTTTTTCGTTCTGTTTACTTATAAATAGAATATGAATCTTTTAGATCGTTTGTGAATTTTTGTTTGACTATCGTCACAACGACGATTTCGAGCGTACGACTTTTTCGTCAACAAGACTGTGGCATTAAGTAGTTTCGTTTTTTATATTCTTGTTACTCCTCGACGGCAGTTCAAATCATTATTTTTGCTTTTGAACTATTTTTTTATTATTCTACTAATATATATATATATATGCAATGCATAGGTATTATTTCTCCATTCGGACTGCTTATGGTGATATTGTTTGTGTAAAAATGCCCTAAATAGACCACAACCGCTCTCTAGACTATCACTAGAGTGATATTAACAAATATTTTCTCGTCTATGATTTATCCACATTGCATCTAATTTATGTTCTAACAGAATAATTTCACGAGATAAATATTGTCGAATGTAATTTTTTCGCAAAATAATTTATTTCGGTGAAAGAATTGCAGATCTAAAACTTGAAAAATCATAAAGTGCATGATAACCTAAATTTCCGTCTTAATTGATTTATTTATTTCATATTAAATAAATTACTCAGCATTATTCAGCTTTCTATCGTTTTGGGAAATTGTGGATATGAAAGTAAATAACATGTGAAAAATGACAAATTTTGAATAGCATTTTTGGCTTTTTACGAGATTAACAATTTTAGGCTGAGTCGATTTGGTCATCTAAAAATTAGTATTTAAATGGCAAAAATCATCATATTTAATTGTACCACGACCTTAAGAAATAAGGTAAATTTATAAATCCGGAACTTTCATATTTTATGTGTATTTTATGGGACAGTGTGCCAAATCTCAAATTTGCATAATCTGCTTCAGTTTAACGATTCCGTAATACGCTTTTCTACTGCAAAAAATAAATGCGAAAGATTTTATAGGATGCTAGTGGTATGATAATATTACTAGTAATTCGTTATAAGAACACTAAATTGCTATACAATAAATGATCAACCAAGCAACTCCTGTAAGGCAATTAAGATAATACCCACTTGTTAACCAGAAAATTTTTTTTCCTTCATCATTTTCAACTTTGTTCATTGTGGCCTATCGTTTAGATTTGTTTTTATTAGTTTTTTAAAGTTTAATTTTCATTATTTATGATTTATTTCTATCTATGTTTGTATTTTAATCACTTTTAGCTGGTTTTACTTAAAAAATCACCCATATATGAATCTTTAGAAGTACATGAAGTGCTCGAATGTTGAAAGTATGTTATCTCTTCATCAATATATTTATTCACTCTGTGAAGGCCAAACGTATAACAAAGCGATGCTTTTCAAGTCGATACTTCTGAACTAAAAATGAAATGTTTATCAACTGTGTTTTAAATACAATATAGTGTAATGTTTTGTAAGTGTACGGAACCATCACAATATCTTATTTTAAATTATTGGCAGCCAAATTTCGGCATTTTTGCATCTCTCCACCGCAAACATCTATTTGTCGATAATTTCATGAGAAAAAAAGTTTATGATTACCGCAGTCGTGAGAACTGTATTTTCAAATAAAATCAGTCTTAATAAAATAATAAAAAAATACAAAATAGTTGAATTAAGGCTTTATGTAAAAACTTTTGGAATGTTACATGACCATTTTTCCATTTGGCAAATTTTGATATACCATGAGTTTTCTTGTTTCAAACTTTTGATGATTGTCTCATAACTTTTAAATACTTTTAAAACTTTTAAAACCTCGTTATTAAACTTAATTCATCTCTGATATTTAATTTAATTTATTAGCTAACCAAATTCCCTTTTTTAAACAAACTTTTATAATTCGTTCTGGAGTAGTTAAAAATTAAAAACTTTTTTTCTGCCAGCATTTAAGAAAATCTTGTAACTTTTATATTACCAAATGGTTAGGAAATCCTAGCCTTATGATTCGTGCAATAATGTTTTTAGCCGAACTTCATAAAACCAAAGTAAATATATCCATTCGACTTAATAGTAATGTTAAATAGGTAGTAATTTGCTGTTTTAGTATAATGCGATAGCAGAATTTCAGTTTCACCTCAAGTTGAGCTAAAGAGCGTCAATTTTCTATGTTTGATATTCGAAGCAAAGAAAACTGGGATCAAATGGATGTGAGGCCTTCAACTATTTTTATTCAGTTGTTTAAGAATTTAAAATGTAGTTTTATTTCCTTTTTTTCGAAAATACTTCTTGTCAAGGCATTAATGAATTTCTATAAGAAATATGGAGTTTTAATGCATCGATTTTGAAATCACCAAAAATATATGATAAAAATAATTTTGAAGCAAGCCCTAAGAATCTCCGTTATTATAAATAGTTTTCTTAAAATCTAATACATATTACCCTTTGTATATTAATTTGCTAAAATTTCATTTGCAAGACCATCCATTTAGTTTTTTTTTATTATCCATGGAAATCGTATGGAAATAATTTTCCTCATATTAGCCGAATTTATTTTAAAAAGCCTTGCTATGGGCTATCATATGAAAAATTAAATTTTTTAATAAAAGACCATTTTTTATTAGTAAAATTTTTATTTCTAACTGTATTTTCTAGTTTCTTTTTTTGTCTTTTTTTCTATTTTTGTCTCATCAACATTTAGCCATCAGTTTTAAAATATCGTGGTAAGCCTCAGAAAAAGATCTAATTGGCAGGCCTATTATGAAAGCTACTGTGAAAATCTTATTTTTATGCTGCCTCAAATTTCACATTGATTTCAATTTAAGAACCTCTATTTCTCGCAGTTTTCTAATTATTGCCTAGAATTCCGAATTTTTGGCCTTTTCAGGATCATTATAGGTTAACGCCATTCAGTAGTTAGGTATGAGAAATTTCTCTCTAAGACTAATATAAATTTATTAGTTAGTCGTTTTATCGTTTTATTATGAAGGAAAATAAGCTTTTTTAACATGTTAATTCCCTAAACAATTTCCTCTTGAGTTTCATTCTTTTTTGCTGTCATCATGTTATTAAAAAACCATTAAGCAGTGGTTGAATTCGATTGAATTCTCTGCAGTTTTTTGTAATGTTTTTTTGTTTTGTTTATTAAAATAACATTTATTATAAGAAGTCTAGAAATATCTGATTTGATTCGTAATAGCTTCATTTTATGTGGCAATTGCCATACGAAAACCCCATACTAAAACTTTTTCTGCTTTAAACAGTCGTAGGACGACGAAATTTTTCACAATTTTTAGTTGCAGTATCTCGCAATTTCAAGTTTAAAAATAAAAATGGATCCTAAAATTTTTTTTCATGTCATAATAAATATTTGTCGAATTGCATAAAAGGAGAAAAAAGCGATTAGTGCTCAACTGCTTAGGTTCATGCGCTATATAATTTTATAATTTTTAATTTTATAATTTTTTTATAATTTTTCATATGATCGTCTTATGAAGAAAATATTATTTTATAATTTAGAAATCATTAAATTTGCGAGCTGAAGGAAAATTTCCAAATTTTTTTGCACACCTATTCTAATTTTTTATGTGTATAAGCCGAAAAAATTTTTATTAGTTCAAAATTTTTATTAATTGGATATTTCAATTATAAATGGCTAAATCGACTATTGCAAAAAACCAATGCTGCACTAAGTAGAAAATTATATTTTTTCAGCAAAATCCTACCTGAATGTAAGGCAGAATAGGATCATCGAGTGATATCTTCTCTTCGATTCGTCTTACAATCGAGCAACGTGCGTTCGATTCCTTCTGCAGATGTAAAACTGTCATTAAAAAATGTAGGTGGTTCTGGTGATTCACCTGCGCTTTTATCGACAAGTGTTTCTCTGGCGAAAATTTCTGACTCAACTAACAGCTAGTGGAGCTAACCTAACCGGTAATGTTGACTGCTGTTACAAAAAGAAGAGGCATGAGAAGTTAATGCTTGTCGTTAAGCGAACATTTCTAAACGAAGCTGATTAGTTCCAATCCAAAAAAAAATATTTTTTTAGCATGCTCTGTTTCTAATTTTCAAGCTTATTTTTGATATACAGTGAACATGAAATTATTGATATCAATGCAAGAATGTCCAATTAATTTGCACCTCTTGAAAAAATTAATAGTAATGGTGAAACGACATATGTTTGTTAAAAACGGTCTCGAAATCTGTTTTTAAAAAATGACCTTCGTATTAACGGCGTTTAAGATTCTAAAATTCCTTGCAGATTAATTCATATTTTATTTCTGTATTTCATTTACGTAAATTTTTTGGAAATTTAATTCGTATTGTAATTAATCAATTAAGAAAATTTTTCGGAGAATTATAAAATCTTATATATTTTTCTCCAGAACTGAATTCAAAAACAACTAAGAAAACGTATTTATCACAAATTTATTGTTTTAAAGTAGAAGAATTTAAATAATTGTTGGGCATTATAAGATATTGTTCTTATACCGAAAAATTTCCACGGAATAGAGAATATTAATTGAATTCCGAAAATATCATAGTAATAGGAATGACTTCCATATGAAGGTAAAATCTCGACGAAATATTTTTTTTAAGTACGACTGTTTGAATCTATTTAAAGACTCTAGAACGGGGATAGTGCTCCAGTATATCAATCGCGTATAATAATTTGAAAATCAAAGCGAAGTTGTAGTCAACCATTCATTCTATGTAGTCATGCACAAACTTCGGCATAAAATTTTGATTTTCAACCATTTTTTCAAATTCAAATTTTAAATTTTATGCACATTTCTTTATCGTATAATTATTATCAGATTATATTGATCGACCAGGAAAAAATCATTTAATTATTGTATAATATTTTAAAAGATTCTGTAAAAGATTATTGAAATTAAATCAACTTTTCATTACTTTTGAATCTCACTTTTCATTCAGCCAGCGATAATATATTCAGCGAAATAATATAAAATATTATATTAAGCGAAAACATGGTTTGTTCCTCTTTATGAATTTTTCGAGCGATAAAATTTTGATTCGACAATTCAGATCAGTGCTTTCTTAATTTCAGAAATATGTTAAATATATCATTTCTAATCATTCTAATCATTTTAGAATAAGCTGGTATGTCTAACGCCAATGAGTCAGCGAAATCAAAAATTAAGTTAGATGGTCTGTCTAAAAAATCGACTGTTCTCGAGGATGCAATGAAGTTGGGCAAATATTCGATAAGATTTTGTTTTTTGGCTGAGTTCATGATATTTAGCCAATTAAGCAACATGTATTACATGGTTTATGCTGGTAGGTCTATTATGTTTCAATTAGATCGTTGTCAACAACAAGGTGATAGCATAGTATCCATATTAATGTTGCAATTACCAAAGAACTTGAATATGCAAATTTAACAAAAAGTTTTTAATACTGAGATAAAATTTTTCACATATTGTTATTACCAGGAATTGCTCCAAAAATCACCGCCTGTGGTCATCATGTTTACGATCCATCGCTAGATTCCATTTCAGTTTGTAATCATTTTTATCAGCTTAAAGAAAATATCACATGCGAGCCTGAGCTACATTCTGAATTCCTTTCGGTCAATATAGAGGTCTCGTTTTTTTTTATGTTGGTTACAAAAATAGAAAATCTACTGAAAATGATTGAAAAATGACCAAGGCAAAACAATTAACGCAGTCTAAAAATTTACGTTTCTTAGAAATTTCATATTGTACACCGCTGAATGATGGAAGTAAAAGGAATCTAAACTAAGAGTAAACTAAAAACGATACATTTGTAGTTTGGTTACCTGTGCCATGAATCTAAAATCGTAAAAGATAGTATATCTATTCAAATGATCGGAGTTATCCTGGGATCGATAGTCTTTGGGCATATAAGCGACTTCTCAGGGAGAAAAAAAGTAAGAACTTTTCATGTTGATTAAGATTTTTTTTCTGGATTTCTTATTTATGGATATAAATTAAATTGACGTGCTTAACAAAATGAATAAATTCGAGAATTTCCCATTTCCTTCAAACTATCCATTTAATAAAGATTAATTCTTTTAATTTCTATCGCGATTTTAAAATTCTTTGAAATTTTCCAGACTATGATGATTTGTTTAATCGGCATAACAATAATTGGTGCTTTATCAGTTTTATCAACGAATTTCATCGCTTTTACTATCTTTCGGACTTTGATTGGCTTTTTTAATGGTGGCCAAATTGCGTAAATACAATTTTATTCAAAAAAATAAATTATAACGAAATGACTGTTAAAATTGAAGTCTGATTTCAATGTTAATCAATACACCAGAAATCAAATTTCATGAAACACGATATGACGAATGCGATATGAAACAACTCGTCATTGCAGCAGCAGAATTAATTTGAGCAGAACAGTTGAATGATACGTTGCTTCGACTAAGGCGCAATTAGTTCTATTCCCACTTTTTAACGCAAAGTTATCGTTAAAAACTGAGTGGTGCTGAGGACTTTTGTCCTCAGGCTAGTTGGTCTTATGCTCGTGATCAGTAGAATCAGCCAAACCAACAGTGCGAACTTCTGTTAGGAGAAAAACTAGATAACACACCCAAAAATATATCCAATAACTTCGGCTAAATATAATTAATACAATTAACAATTAATAAGTTTAAGTTTTTCAGTAAAAATGCGGCTGTTAAAGTAATATTTCTATACGAAGGTAGTTATAAAACTATTGGATAAGCGAAGAAAGAATTAATTGTTAAAATATTATAAATGAAATTGTCATGAAGGACTTTATAAGTTCACATTCTTTCAATTTTTTAAGGGTTCTTCTGGTATTCATGGTGGAAAATCTGCCAAAAAAGGACAGACTGTGGATAAATATTCTAATAACTTGGTCACCTAATATTGCGCTACTTGCAATCATCGCTTACTTGTGCACAACCTGGAAAGTTTTAGCCGTTGTAACGAGTTTACTTTCGATTCCTGCCATTGTTTTATTATAGTTAGCTGTTTTTTTAAAACCTTCATTTGTATAAATGTGGATTAAGCTAACTAAGCCACTAACGCCAAACAAGAGATGCAACATTTATATTATATCATATCAGTGTTTCGTATCAAGCAAAAAAAGGTCTACCATCACCAACCATTAGATCTGGTATTTTTTCACAAAAAAACTCGCATCGTTTGCAGTCACTATTAACAATTCTTGAAGAAAATAAATTTATTTTTAGTTTCGTTTATGAATCACCGCGATGGCTAATTCAACAAGGCCGGATTGATGAAGCTCTTATAATACTAAAAGCAATAACTCGAATTAATGGAACAAATGAAATCTCTGATCAAATGATTAACCATGTAATTTCAAATGAAAGACAGGTAATTGCTTTATTATTTACATAAGCATTTTACTTTAATGTGAATCAATGTTTGAATTCTCCTATCTTTTTTCTAAGAAACTTTATTCTCTCCTTTTCATTCTCATTTTTCAGTTAGCGATGAAAAACGCCGAGAAACGAAGGAATTTCTACATTTACCACTTATTTTATACTCGGGAGCTTGCTATTCATACAATCGTACTATCTCTTAGTTTGTAAGTCGAAATTCATAAATTCATTTTTCTGCTTCCAGGAGAGATATTCATAAAAATTTAAATATCTTCAAAATTAGAATCATCGAATGAGCAAAAAAATGCTAATTCTACTGTGTTTTATTTCTTCTTTATTTATTTCTTCAATCGTTTTTATTTAATTAAAATTTTCAATATACTGTGCGAATCACAAAAAAATTGCTTACTTCAAATATTTTTTCAAGTATGGCATCAAGTATTGTCAATTATGGTTTACTGTTCAATATGGATAAAATGTCTGGCTCAATTTACATCAATAACATCATCGTTGGGCTATTAAGGTATTGTTGCTCCAAATGAATCCATATTTATTACCTCAGCGTAAAATCTCAAATATTTCATAAACTGGATGGCTTAGTGGGTTGTTGCTCGATTGGGAGCGCCGATGCTGAGGTTCTATTCCGTGCAGGAGTAAACCTGTCCAAAAATCTGGGCGATGCTGGTGACTTATATGTACTTCTATCGCCAAGGGGCTCCCTAGCATATTTGTCCAATGTGACAAACCAGAAGACAAGTTTAACCAGTAATGATGAGGACTCTTAAGAAAAAAAAATTTCATAAACTGATGGTTCTCAATGAGACCCACTTCCTGGAATATATTTTCTGGAAGCAACAGAAAGAAGTTGGAAAAATGGGGACTACGACAGTATAAGGGAGCAAGCTATATTACAGAAAGAATATAAAAATTTATTGCTTATACCAAAAAATTTATTTTAAGTGTCATATGAAAACCCTAGCTGAAAATCTAATGAGAAGGATAATCGTTGATTTTGCCACGATTTAGCTAATATTTGTACAAAAACTTAGAATCGAAACTATTAGGTGTTGTAATTATAATTTGGATCATACAACACCTAATTTTTTTTGAGAGCACTCACCATTATTAGTTGAACTCGCCCCACTGGCTAGTCGCACTAGACAAATATGCCAGAGAGTCTCTTGGCGATAGTATAGGTGAGCTGCCAGCACCATTTGAATACAACACTTAATAATGGATTACAAAAAATTACATATCCACGATTTGCATTATTATACTGTTCACTGCATCTGAATGACTTATATCTAATTCTGCTAAAGCATTCTTGCATGTTTTTCGAAAATAAAAATTGTTATTATTTCCCAAGATTATTTCCCATTGATTACAATTGATTATAATCTTCCAACCACTGCCTTAATATTTTCACGCTGTAGTTCTCCGAGAACTCCGATACCAATTTCGAACGATTCAATTACTTCATTGCTTTCAACCGCTTTAATAGTTTGAATACTTTTAATTATTATTTTACGTGGGCACTTTCATACTTTTACAATACAGAAATTCAATAAAATCTAATTTTAACTAAAAAACGATTCGTTTAGCATTTAAATTTCGAAGCCGTTATCCTTTTCCGTTAAAAAAAGTATCGCAATCGTAACTCGATCGTTGCCGCGTGCCTCAAACTTGGGTAATTAAACCTTTATTTAGATAACAATATAATTACAACAATTATATTAGGTAAGGATACATATTACATTGTAATATAACTAATGACCTAAACAAGAAACGACAAAACAAAAAAAGCAACCCACCAAACAAGTACAAATTAAACAATAAATACCTCAATTACCGGCTCTCCACTGCTCACCTACCACTACAAATGAAACAATGAATTGATGAATTGTGTCTCAAAAAGGAGGAGAACCGATGCAAAATTGCGGCCGCAGCCACGCTTTTGTTGGTCTTCAGACGACTCTACTCATCTTTGAGCACACTAATTAAGTTTTTGTTGTCTTCATCACAAAAAGGAGCATAATTTGGTAAAAAACGAGATGTTTTCTATTTTTTGGTGACAAAGCCTAGATATTTGAAGCCTAGATATCTGAATTAATTCGAACCCTATTACTTTGCTCCAGTTTGCTTTCATTCCTGAAGCGATTAAATCGTGTTCCTTTTTCAAAGTGTATTTTAGTTTTTTCTTGATACGAAATGCTTTTTGTTTTTATTCATAACAGAAATTTATTTTTAAAATGAAGAAAAACATCGGCAGTACTCCATTGAATGCCATGCTAATGGATTTTATTCCTTTACAACAAAACTGGAAAAGCCGATCGTTGCTATATAAGACGATTATCAATGAAAGCGCGCAACCAGCAAAGCCTAAGGCACATTTGGAAACAACCTATAAAAATAAAAAAATAATCCGCTGGAGTAATGATCTTTTAAAAAAATACGATAATACACAATACGATTTATTCATAGTTCATGGTTGAAGAGTATCCAAGCGCATAGATGAAATGGCTCGTAATGAACAAAAACAAATCAAAGAATCCTCTTTGCAAATTAAAGAAATCAACTTTGATAAAAAAATGAAGTCAGTCTACTTGACCTTTATTCACTAGCCCTTTTATGAATTTATTCACTTCTCTCCATAATTGTTTGTATATAATTTCAAAAGTTTGCATGATGAAATGCAACTAAGGTTCCAAAAAACTATTATTAAAACTATTATTAGCAATAAAAGTCCCATGAGTAAGTGATAGATCCATTAAGGATAAATACAGCTAATATAGGTTTGGAACCATATAAATATCTTGTAGATCCACAGAATAGCACAAATAGTTTCTCGACAAAAAACTGAAAAAAAATTTCCTCAGCTTTGAGACAAGGCAAGAAAATTTTTTTAGATTTCTTTCCAAGCTTTCCAAGTTCTTGTGTGGTTGAATTTGAGTTTATTAAAGTCAACTGCATGACGACAGTCTAAAACAAATTGGGTAATGAGAAAAGGAAAGATCTTCGGTTATTTTTAAGGAATTTCAAGCTAAATATGCAAAATCTTGCTTGTTTTCATCAATCGCAAGGCTTATACGAAAAGTTTTCGTTCAGTATTGTTTTAAAAATTTTGTATTCTATTGGACCATTCATTTTGATATTAAATTTATTCTAATTTGTTCTAAATTTGTTAATTCGCAATCATTTAATAAAATTTTCCCAAACTTAAGATGCAGTTTGTGGGTGAAATATAAGAAACTTATCTTACAATTTTGAACTTTCTTTGAGTCCTCAGTCTAATCATTACTTGCCTTTCACTAAAAGTTCAACTTTTCGAATAAGGCGGGTCAAAAAGGCTAGTAAGTCTATCAGTGGAACCATGCGAGACTGATATAAACAATCCTTATAGATTGCGGACCATATTGTTGAATCCCTTCAATTGCAGGTACGCTGTTAATATAATGACTGCATTACTTGATTATCTTAAAAAATGGTTCGGTCGTAAATGGGCACATGCTTTCTCTGTTACGAATACTATCATATCGTTAGGCATAATATTGGCAATAAACATTGCAGGTTAGTTGCATCCATTCTAAAAAACTCAGTTTTGAATAACAGTCCCCGATCTCATCTCATCGAAATTGATCTATGCCTGTATGCAGACCTTTTTTAAATTCTAAATCATATGCCGCAACAGCAAGAACATTAGGATTAGGATAATCGGAACAAAATTTTCAAATTTTTCGAAACTCACATTTGGATAATTAAACCTTTATCTAAAACAACGACAAAAGAAAGTTATAAAGGACAAAGAAATGAATCAAAAAAATATAAAGGAAAATAGTAACAGAAGGCAATTAATAAAGAATTATGGCAACGAATTTAATTTTGCATCGCTAGTTAAATCAAATTAAATACGATCAGTGACCATCTTCAAAGTCCAGTGTAGCAGATTTAAACGTCAGGCAATCGGTTGGCGGTCCATAATACCGCCAATCGAATATATTAAAAAAAATTCCGTAAAACCAACGAGGCTCAAAAGCCCCAAGTCATCCCGCCTTTATTTTCACATAATTCTCTCTTAATCTCTTCCTTAGAGAATCTCATCTAAATGTTCCCTTCTTTCTTAAAGAGCCAGAACCTCGTTTCATAAGGTCCAAATCATTAGTAAATTTGGTAGAAAATTCTGAATATATTCTAAGGGCAGATAGAGTTATATGTCATATTCCTTACTGGCTAATCATATCTCAAATATTTGAGAATGTTGAAAAATTGTTTTAAATATTGGCAATCCACCGTCATTTTTTTCATCGATTTTGCGGCTGCACAATTTGACTCAGTTGATAAAGCTTTGGAGGGTTTGGAGGATGAAATGTGGTGACTGCCAGAGAGAACCGTTCGATTTATAAAGGCATTTTTCCAGTGTATATCGAGGCCTATGTGTATGGAGAACTGTCAGAATCGCTTGAAATAGGAACTAACTAAAACTATCTATTAAAATCTATTTTCATTAATTCATTGCTGGTTGAGGAAATAGCAGATTTTAAATATCTTAAATCCACTTTATTTCCAAATGGTCAAGCGAAAGGCGAAATTACAATCCGGATAATGATAGCTAGAAATATATTCTCCCAAAAACTTTTAACGAAACCTTAATGGGGTCCTCGCGAAATCACTACAAAAACGAAAGACTGTCTACATAGCTGCATTTCACTCGATCTTACTATGGCTGCGAGACCTGTCAGATAAGAGTGGAAGATATTATCTTCTTTGACCACTAAAGTAAGATAAACTTTACGAGTCGGAAACAAATATTAGTTATAAAAATTTGATGCCCTTCGGTATAACGAAAGTGTTCTTCATTGGAGCACCGGTTTCCGATGTCATATATTTTCCCATTGTCATCGCAGCGGCACTATAACCCACTTTACGGATTCACCAAACAGATAAAATATAATATAATATATTTTATAATATAATATATTTTACATGATTGCACTCACCTTCGTACAAATACCATCTGCATTAACACACTATTACAAGCGTTGCCTCCGCTTCTTAGACACATTTTCCGTCCACCGTAAAGTTGAGACATATTTCGTTACTTGCTAAACCCTATGATGGATGGCATCCAAAGCGAGGAGGGCCAATCAAGAATAATTTTAGAATAATTCTTTATCCAACGCACATTTGGAATCTGACCATAATTACTTTTGCGTCAAATTGATTTAGTACAAATTGTCCTGCTCGTGCTCCGATGAGAATCAAGCAATTCTAATCGTGGCATGGTCATTCCTTTTATGGCTACAGTACAGAATTTGGCATAAACTAAAAATGGTTCAACGGTTCTTGTTGCGCATTCCTTCTCTAAAGGTGTATATTGCTGTATGCCATATGCGAAGCATCTTTAAATATGTGAATGTTCATATGAATGACTTGTAAGATTGGTTATAAATCGAGGCAAGTGTACTATATGTCGTCTTGTCGTTAACAAGAGATTTCCAAGCTTGTTGATCTTCATAACTTATAATTTGATCCTACGAATTACTTTTCTTCCATAAATTTTAAAAAAATAATTTAAATCTTACAATTACCGGAACTAGAAATCCTATGGGGTCATGTTGTGAAGCAATAAATTGAAGAATGGTTCTCTTTTTTAAAGCTATTTCACTACCATTGGCTTCCAGATGATAATTAATAGTAGCTGATAATAAAAAGCGAGATGATATAATTCCAAATGGAATGATACCATTGTAGATTTTCTTCAGTGACATCCTTGTTTATATCCTTCAACCAAAGAAATCTAGTGCAATTCCCGTCTTCGGAACGTAATTTTATTTGCAAGAATGCCTTTTCTGTATCGTCCATGATTATTTTCCTCACCATTCGGAAGCGAATACACCCACAATATCTGGAAGTATTATCGGACCACGATATAGTACGTCATTTAAACTTATTGATCCCTTCACGTCTGCTGATGCATCCTAAACAATTCTTAATTTAGTTGTTCCCTTGCCTAAAGTCAGCAAATTACGATTAAGTAAATAGCATATAACTCCAACTTGGTCCATATAAGAGGTTCAACCATTTCAATTATATCAGAGCGCAATTGTTCTTGAATTATTTCATGATATTATTCGAATTCTTGTTGACCAAACTGAAATCGTCCAATCAAATTTTTCAGTCGGCCATAACATATTCCATAATTTTTACTTAATTTAGTTGTAGATTCCTTCCATAGTACTTGGTATCTTCAATAAATTTTGATTATATTTTTTTGAGATGTTCCAGCGTTCGTTCATCAGCATAATCATAAGATTGTTCATGTATTCCTATGCATTCCAGCTTCTAGAATTAATCTAGCTGGGATGTATACTAGAAATACATTTAGGTTTATGGGTAATTTGATTGATTTCTTCGATATATCCACTTCTGCAAATCATAGGGCTCAATTTGAAGTAGAGAAAATCCTGATTTATTTTTTGAATTTTCTCTAGTTATATAAATTTGAAGTAGTCGCCTCCGATTAATATATCTGGTTTCCTCCAGTAGAAAACTGGGCTTTCTAACTGGTAATTTTCATACATCGTAAATGGTGTATCCTATACTTGAAATTCAATTGTTAAATAATTAAATAATCCACCACATTCACTCCACAAATTATCATCTCTTTATCCTTATTTCTTATTCCAATTAATGCCTTTACTGTGGGAAGTACCGTATGATGTCTGGCTCCAAAGGTAGATGTATTTAATTCTGTTAATTCGATTTCTTCAAGTTCTAAACGATTTGCTAATTCTTTGGATACGAAGCTTGATTGTTAACCGATATGAAATAACACTAGAACTTCTTCGTAATATTCTGAATTTTCTGTATCAAAGGCAATAACTTCTTTGCATAAAAGTAAAAATTCTCTTTCCTTTTCGGTGATCTTGTTGATTATAGCCGTTTCATGGCCTAATTTGACTTCCCTTTCTGGCATGGGCGTATGTCCAGCTTGCTTGAATTTTTGAGGTCTATTGTCGCAGAGTGCGTTGTTGTGTGATTTTTTACAACAAAAACCAATTTTACCAATTTCACCAATTTTTTGCAATAGGCCTCTGTATGTGTTCCTTCGAGGTATTTCCGACAGGCTTTGATTATAATTTCCGTCTGACCCTTTCTTTATAGGCAAATTTGAAATAACTTTAAACTTACCTGAAGCAAATTGACTGATTATTGCCAATGCAGAAGTTTTTCCTTGGTTGCTTTGTTGCTAACGTTTGGATTTGAACTTAGTTAATTGTCGTTTCTATATCGTCGTTTATGCCACATAAATGGTGCATAATTTTTGCATATATTATTGTAAGAACAGATTCTTGTTCATTTGTTGTTGTTGTCTCGTAAAACATTCATTGTTCATCACGCGATTTCTATCACCACGGTTTAGTACTCAGCTGATCGGAGTTGATTTGCATAACTTATTAAATTACCACCAACTGTTTGAAAAGCTTCCTTAGTGAGAAGGGATAGTAAATGGTTCAGTTTATCTATTTATGCAATATTGATTATTTGCTGATCAAAAGGTGCTTCTGAATTGCCATTCTCTTGAATCGCAACTAAAGAACAAGATTACGTTGCATTATTTGTAATAGCTCGTGCAGTTGGAAATTTTGTGTTCGAGGTGCAACTTGACTCGTAAATTGTTGTGATGCATATATCACGGAAATTTTTGGCCTCGCATCATAATTGTAACAAGTTATCTAGCTTCTTCGTCACAGAGTTTTTTCATATTCTTTTCCCTCCTCTCTTCTCAATATGAAGTATCTACAAACATAGCTGATACCCATTCTTTGAACTAATTCTTTGCAAGGCTTATATCTTATTTCTAAATTCATATTCCTTACTGCTTCACAATAATACGATCCTAATTGATCCTAATCTGGCTGTGGTTTCACAACCATAATATCATTGTGTCATTATAATCTTATATTATATTTTCCTTGCCGTTTATTTATTTATTTATTGAAAATCAGCCAAGCAAGGCGACAACTCCATGTATTAATAACAACAGAAAATCTTTTAAAAAAAAGCGAATAATAAAATTTAATAAGAAAAATATAAAATATGACAAAAATTAACAGTTTAAAGAGGAAATAGAGAGGAAATTGCAGAATAATATAATATAGTACAATTCGAATTAAATGTATTGTACAGAATCGGATAGTAAAAATCAAGATTTCAGACTTCCTGCATGATTTGAACTTTTTAAATAATATCATAAATGATATTATCTAATCTTTTTTTAAAGATTGCTAAGGATGGTGCACAAGCTATATCGTTTGGAAATTTATTCCAGTAATTAATATTTCGAATAAAGAAATCATGAGTTCTTAGTCTAGTTTTACACATAGATTTTAGTTTTTTTAGGTTTTAGTATAGGTTATCCGCTCTACCATGAGAACAATAAATTTTAAAATCATCAGCATAAAGATAAATGGTAGATTTTGGTACCACTTTGGTGATACCATTTATAAATAATAGAAAAAGCAATGGCGCAATACAACTACCTTGGAGAACGCCAGATTTAACAAGTGTTGTATCAGAAAAAATGTTTGACACATACAGCTTGGTGACAATCTTTTATGTATTCTTATACCCAGTTGTAAAGGGCCTCTGTAATACCATAACTATTAAGAGTGATCAATAATTTGTTATGGGAAATAGTATGGGAAGCTTTAGCCAAATCTAAGTATACAGCTGATACTGTTTTTCCACTGTCAGTTGATGCTGGCTAATCGGAAAGATTCGCCAATATTTGTGAAGTAGATTTTTTTTGTACAAAAGCCATGCTGATAAGAAGATATGAAATTATTGGCATCAAGATAAGTAAGCAATTTGTTGCAAATCAACCTTTCGACTACCTTGCTAACAACGCATGTTAGGCTATAATTAGAAGGGTCATAGGTGCTTCCTTTTTTATGAATGGGAATTATATGAGACAGAAATTTTGGGATTAAGACCAAATGTCCTTATAAATATCAGAGGTGATCGCATTATCATTATGTTGCACAATTGATTGTTTATTTTTCTTTTGATGTAAATCCAGAAATTTCTATTAATATTAAAAATAGTGGAAGACTCAGAGAAACTGTACATTTTTGCAAATTATTTGTAGAATATTATCGGGACCAGCTGATAAGGCATCATAAACATCCCATAGCGTTATTTCAACCTCACAGAGAGAAGTACAACAAATTCGATTTACTTCTAAACAAGAAGTATGAATACTATCGTCAACAAATACACTAGAAAAATATTGATCAAATATACATACAATATCAATATCAGAGGTGATCATACTATCATTATGATGCAGAATTAATTGTTTATTTGCAAATTTTATTTTGATGTAAGTCCAGAAAGAATTTCTGTTAATATTTAAAATTTGCTCTTATTTATTTGAAAAGTAATTATGAATGCACTACAGAAACTTTTTAAGCATTCTTTATATGCAGAGAGGTCACATGGCAATTTGGTTAATTTGTATTTATTATAAGGCTTCCTGATACTTTTTTTAAGAGATTTTTAAAAAATGGGAATCGACCTAACGCTTTTTTTTTAGTGGTATTGTTCTATAAGATATGAAATGATGCTATTAAGAAAATTAACTTTTTAGAGGCAGTTAAATAAATTAAGAAATCCCAATTTGTTTCTGCGAGGATAGAAGATTTCATAATCAGTAAAAGTAATTTATAGGATATCTCGAGGGAGGTGCATGTGACGGTTTAATTTTAATAAAGCATGAATAATATTGTGATCACTATTACAAAAAGGCTCCAAGACTTTAATGCTATCTACAAGAGAAGTAGGAGCAGCTAACACAGCATCTATTATAATATAGTGTTATACTTAACAGCAATCTTAACATGTTTCTCTAGACCTATATAGGTACAAAGGTTTAGAAAGCCCTCTTCAAATTTGTTGCTCTTCAAATTTGTTTTTCAAGCAACTATTTTCCCAATCTATGTTTGGCATATTAAGATCACCAACAATTATATAATCGGCATCAAATAATTTTAATCTGAATAATAGGTTGTAAAGAATGAATTAGCTTCCATAGCCGGTGAGCGGCATAAATTTAAAAGGGAAATATTTCTATTATTAAGATAAATTTTAGTTATCAGAGATTCGAAAAAGGAATAAACATAATCTCAGTTACAGATTTATAATAATCAGGAATAAGCGTGATAAGCCCACCTCCACGAATAAATAGTGTTTAAACTATTTATTGTTTTGTCCTTACGTGATACTATAAAGCCGTCGAAATTTAATTCCCGATTATCAGTAGAATCATCCAATCACGTTTCATTAATACAGAAAATACTATTTGGGTTATCAATTAATATTTGCCGTTGCTTTCGAGAAAGCGAAAACTTTATAGGGAGAGATCAGTTTTCAATTTTATAATGGTAGCCATCCTTTTTTGGAGCAGTTTCACCATGAAAAATTCAAAAATCCAAATAAATAAAAAATAAAAAAAATTTGAAACAAAAAAATGAAAAATTATCAAACTATATTTCTTCTTCTAACAGCCCTCATCTTTACTGGTTCTGCTCAAAGGGCAAGACATTTACAGTCTAGGAGTTCGATCAGATACCATCTCTGACAGTAGAATCCATTTCTTTTTCTATCGTTAAAGTCCATATATCATTGGTCCACCTATTCAAAATCTTTTCTGGCCGTATTAGTCCAGGTCTTGAATGGCCCTCCTCGCTTTAGGTGCCATCCATCATAAAGTTTAAATATGTTCAACAACTGTGGTAGACGGAGAAGACGTGCTCTATCCAGCGAATGCTCTGTGATGGTACTGTTAATGTAAGTGGTATTTGAGTGAAGTTGGATGGAATCACTTGAGATTTCCCCTCGGTGTACACGTAAAATGCATCCAAAACGCGAGTGGTGAAAGGAAAACAAATTCTTGATATCTTCCACTTTTACTAGCCATATCCCGCATCTTTATAGCAAGATCGAGCGAATTGTAGCTATATGGACGTGAATTTTGGTCTTTATGTATTATATTTCTATATTTCAAACATTTAAATAATTAATGCATGGCAACAAAAGTTTTGTCTGGATATATTTGCTTTATTATTGGTCGACTTGCTCAGGTCGATACTGGCCTGTCCATTTCCAAACCCGTTTCTCGGCATTTCTCCCAATTTAAAATTGACCTCGGTCGACCCTTCGTATAGTTTCTGCCAAAATGCTCTGATTCGAAGTGTGAAAAATTTGTAACGTTTTTCTCGGCCTACATCATATATAGAAATCGGAAATTTTGAATAATAAAACTTTTGAATAATAATAGCCTTTTGTTCAATTTCTTCAAAATTCTCTTTTGTTTGATATGCCGATCTTAAATTTTCAAGGAACCACGCGATAATTGCAAGAAATTTATTAAATTTACATCGCACGACCTCATACTTGGCTTTTTAAGCTTTATTCAAACCATACCTTAGCGGTGGTAACGAAAATAAATCAAGAAACGCAAAGGAAAAAAACAAAATCCACTCAATAAAAAATTTGGCAGTTTAATTTCTCATAGTTAAAGCCAAATTAAATACAAATCATAAAACTTATTTTCCTATATATTCCCGTATAATGCCAATGCCCGAGTCCTAATTCCAACACTTGTCTTTCAAAAATCAGGATGGTGGTGTAAATTTCAAGTGATTTCTTGGCAAAATTTCTTAGTATTCTTAGTAATTTCTTGGTCTGACTATGCAAACCAAAGCTATAAACCTAACTACATATAGCACTTTTAAAAAAAAAAAAAAAACCCTTATGAACCAGAGTCCCAAACTGAAACATGGTGATAGATATTAGCTCAACACAACTAAACGCAATAAAATCCACTGTACCGATGCGATAAAAACCTTTCCATCGATCTTTTTTCCTTCCATCCCTTCCTCCCATCTTCTTCATTTTTCCCCCTCTTCCTTTTAAAATTTGGACTTTATTCACTTTATTCACTTCAATTAGCTCAAAATAAATTTAGAAAAAACCACAGAGATGCAGCTGGCTATACGAATTGCAACAATAATAATATTTGCCAGTGCTGGTCAGATTTATGTTATAAATGGAATAATTTCAAGTGAACTCTTCCCAACACCTATACGTAGCATTTGTTATTCGTTCTTGCAGGTGGTAAGTCGGATTGGCGTGGTCATCTCTCCGCAAATTTTTTTTCTTGTAATTTTTATTCACTTTCATATCTTAGGCAAATCAAAACTGACTGAGGATGCTTCCAAAATTTTTTAAATTAATTTTCAATTATTTTCAGAGGGATTACTGGAACTTAACACCATATATACTGATGCTGGTATTTGAATTCCTAGATCTAATTTGTTTCCAAACATTCATCCCGGAAACGAAAGGTTATGCACTTAAAGACAGTATGCCTACTTCGAATAAACGAAAATTCAGCTTGAAAAAGGAGCTTTTGCCACTTTCACGCAAAAAAGAAAAGAATGTGGAAGGATAACCTATTGCAATTTGAGTCTAAAAATAAGCCAAATTTTAAAGATATAAACAACTAAAAGGGATGCAACAGCTATTTTTATGTGAGATATAATTATAAATGAAAATAAATAGTATATAATGGGTAAAAACAGAAAAACAGAAAATTTAATAATAGTTATATAATAAAATTTTATAAAAGTAAAGTAAATTTGTTAAATACAATTTTTTATAAGTCACATTTACATTTACACAGATTCCTGATTAATAAGTACGAAGGAAATTTTAAGAATATATTTTAAGAAAAATGAGTTATGAAGAAATTTCAAATGACTGATAAATATACAAACAAGATGAAAGAACAAGAATAAAAAAATTCTCTACAGTCAGTTGATTCCATGAAACAAAATTTTCAGTCCCTATATAAAATGTGAAATGTGAAATCAGCCGAAGGAAAACAATTCAAGATAAAATCATACAAAATCTATTACAATACTAGTAAAATCTATTTTAAAGTTATTATTTACACCAAGTAACACCGATGTTCTCCAAACAAGGAGGTCCTGAATGACGATCTAAAAAAGTACTCCTTGCAAAAGCGAAAGCATTCTGAATTTTTCGCATATCTTTTACAGATCGAGCAGTATTGCCGATATCGTACGGTTCTTGTATATACAAACTTTTAGCAAACAAATTCCGCTCAGGACATATTGAATTCCTTATTGAACTTAAAGAAACATTATTTACCTTTATAACCTAGTCTAAAAATAAAAAAAAATAAAAACTACTGGGTGTTGGAAAATTTTAGAAATAATGAGTTTAAAACCAAGAAAAAAATATTCAAGTACGGAAATTTTAGAAACAAAAATTGCACGAAAAATCGAATTTACCAGTCCATAAGTGACCCATTAGCTATGGAAATTCCAGTTCTTGCAAAGTCGAAACGAGCATAATAATCGAAAAATCCAATTAGTAACTCACCAATCGTTTGCGTATTTATCTGCCGCTCTATATAATAAAGAAAATCAAGCAAATAGCGCAAATGAAAAAATACAAAAAAGTTTTCAAAACTTTGCACGACCAAGTTTGCATGTCTTATAACCCACACTTTCCATTAAAAAAAAGTGAAGTAAATAAATTTAATGGCAATGTAACAAATAGAATAAATGAACCTGGTAGTGGATAAGGCAAGGAACCAAACAGACGTAGATTCTCATAATTTCCAGGGGCAAACATTGTGGGGTAAAGATACATCAAATTGGGCAGAACAGGAGGGAAAACCCCACACTGTAGAAAATGAAGCACCATTAGAATTAATGAGTAACTGAAATTTAAAAAAGACTGAATCATACCGTCAAATGAACATAGTGAATGAAAAAGATTTTTCCACCTTTTTTCAAACTAGTTTAATCAGAAAAATGAAAACTTTTTTGAAAAAAATGAACAATGAACAATTAAGATAACATGCTTAGATTCTTATATTAAAGAATTAACCGTGCTTTTCAAAAAATGGCAGTTCATATGAGGTGCAGGAAATAAACATCTAAAAAACCTGTTTAAAGTTCCCATCAATGCATCATTTATGTCTGCTTTAATTGCCCAATGTTTCACCGCAAGACAAATTGCTGGAAATCTATCATCTATGCTGAAAAATTAACATTTATTTCCGAACAATAAAATATTCTTAAGAACAAGAAAATTCTGATGGCAAATTCTGAATCTAACGAGCTGCCACATCTCACATGATCATAAACACTTTTTTTGTTGCGAATTCGAACATAATTGTAGCTTACCGAGAATAATAATGCAATAAATGCGAGTTGAAAATACCGGAAACATTGTTCAGATTTATGTCTACCTCTAAGTCTTCAAATGGCCAATTCATTAAAATCTTTAGAATTGGAACCTAAAATAAAAAAACTTTTATCAATAAAAACCATGCGAAAGGACTAAATAAAGTTGATCTGAAAAAAAAAGGAAACAGACTGCAAGAAATTCTTACTGGCGACTGTGTAACATTTCACTTACTTTTGCTGATACTAAGCAGCATTTCTTCACTAAATCTGAACGACGACGCAAATAATACTGAATATTGCTTAGAACAGAAACAACATCCCTGAAAAAACACTATGTGGTTTTGAAGATAAAATTCAAAGAGAAAATCAAATATGTATAAAAACCAAATCTTGCTTTTAATCAAATAATGAATTCAATGAACTGAAATGTTGTTCAAGAAATTCTTACTGGCGACTATCTTCACAACCAGGATTATAGTTATAAACACAACATAAATCCATATCAGAGTTATAAGAACCACAACCATTCACTGTTGAGCCTATAGCTAATAAATGGGCGGATGGATAAACCTAAATTGTATATTTTATTGTATATTAAATTAAATTGTATATTTTTATTTTTAATCTTAATATGAATGGTACTTGCTTACATTAACGATGAAAATTATGAAGAGCAATTTCAAGATGCAAAATGCGAAAGCCGTAACCGTATAACTGTAACCGTAACCAGCAGAATAACCGTATGACCAGCAGAATTCACTTTATAACATATTCCATATTTATAGGTGTGAATTAAAAAAATAAAAAAAAGTCAGGAAAGATTTTGAACGTACAGGAAAAACAGGCGATATATGGACGATGGAAAATGAATGGTTTCTATTACTATTAGCAATGGCGTAGGACCGAGCAACTTGGAAACGCCTTAACCTTGTAGCCAGCGGAGCCAGCCTAACCAGTAATAGTGAGAGCTGGTAGAAGAAGAAAGTATGAATTATTCGGAGAACAAAAAATCAAGAAAAAATAAGTAAAAAATTCACTTCTTGAATAATATCGCACAACTCCCGTCTCGCATTCATCTTCCACGTATATGTTTGGTCGTCCTAAAATGGAAAAAACTTTCAAAATTTAATCCTAAATCAAATTTATATTAAAAATATAAAATGTATAAGTTTGGGTGACCTGTGAATTAAGTTCCCAGTGATGCCAAATATGTTTATCAAATTCTCTGAAACGTTTCGGAAATTTATACCGCTTTGCTGCGATTGATAAATTCCTGTAAGACACTGAAGGTGCAGGTTTAACTCCTAAAAATCTTGGTTTATATCATTCTGGTTGATTAAGCAGTGACAGTAATCAGTAAAACCACTTTCAAAAAACGATATACAATCAATGTTCTAGCACTATAAAAAGTAAATTCTAGAAAAAGTAAATTTTAACTTCCAATAATTAAAATAATTAAAAGCATGAAAAAATTTACCTAATCGCTCGCACATAATCAAATCTTCACATTTTAATGAACTTGCATTTAAGTTGAATGCATGAATTTTATTATTTTTCTGAAAATATAAGGGATAAATAAGCCTCCAATAAATGAAATGAAAAAATATTCAACCAAACGCAAAATTAAAGAAAAACTGCAGGTACTCCGAAATGTTTATTTGACGACTTTGAATAACAAGCTTCCTGTTCCTGTAAAAAAACGTTCCTTCCGTTATTCTCCGCATTTTTTTCTGGATCTTCACTAAAATGGGAAAAATTCAGCACGAAACTGACGTCAACTGGAGGTGCTACTAAAGATGTTTCGGATACTGTAGATTGTGAGCCAGCTGAAAATGAATGGTGACGAAAAAAAAAGCAATGAAAATTAGGAATAATGTGTTGCTATTGGAAATATAATGAAAAAAATTATTTATTAATCATGCTAAATGCGAAAAGCATATAATACCCTGAGAGAAGTGAAAAAAGAAAATAAAAAAGGAAGACAACAATGTTAAAAAAAAGTTATTTCCAAAGGTAAAGTAAAAAAAGGTAAGAAATTACACACAGAAATATAAAAATACCTATAAATAAGCAAAGCCTATATTTTTTAAAAAATGATTAAAAAATTGATTAATGATGAATGAACAGTTGGAAATTTGACTTACAGCAGTTTTCTTCTATATGCTTGACTTCATCGGAATCGTTCTCTATGCATATCAACTGAGTTTTCGATATTTCCTTTGAATATATTAAATGCACAATATAAAAAATTAAATGATTCTGAATACGCTTCCAAAGGATAAAAACTACTGACTAACCTTACTAACCACAGTTAATATTTCACAGTCGCTATCGCAATTTCCAGAATCATTTCCCGTCATTGCATTATTTTTAAACGAACTTGGTAAACAAGAATCAAGAAAGGGTTTGTTTAGGTCAATCTGTGATTCTTTAGATGGATAAAATTTAACGAAAATTTTATCATTCGCTTCATTTACTTTTGAAATAAGCAAATTGGATTTTTGTGAACATTCTTGAACAGATTCATTTATTAGAACGCTCGGTGAATTTTCTCCAACTGTAATTTCACTTCGATTATTGCCCAAATTTGAAAATGCATCTTGGCGAGACGCAAAGTCAGATTCAATTAATCGTGCCGATGACCTGTTCAAGAACTGAAATAACAAGTGAACAATTTCAAGCCAAATGTATAAATTCCAGATACATAAATTTTATGGAAGCTTAATCAAAAATATGATCTGTAACGTTCACTAACTTTTAAGCTACCTTTATGGTAATTCCACATTTGCGAGCAATATTTCAAAAATTAGTGATGGCAAAGATTCTAATAAAAATAAAATATGCATATAAACTAACCAAAGGCCTAAAACATTGATTTTTCACAGCACAACCTTCAGAACCAGTTAACTTTCGTTTTCTGTAATTTTATGAGAATATGAAACAAATATTTCAAAGGAAACTTTTAATCTGTCGACTGTATTTTACTACAAACGAAATATTTCAAAGATCTGTAAAATTTTTTCAAATTTTATCATTCTGACTCACATTTTTATCGACTGCTCATCTTTCAATAAATAAGCAGGTATACGTGCAGGTCTTGGGCTTCCTAAGCTTGTTTTTATGCAAGGTGGGATTTCATCCGTCTTTTTTAGAAGATATTCTTTCAACTCTTCCCTTAAAAAATGTTTTAAAAAATTAAGATGATTAGAAAATCTACGGAAAATAACAACTTTTTCAAAAAAGCAATAATCCAATCACATACGCTGCTCGCTTGTCCACTTCATCAATATTTTTACTAATCGCTTTCGATGCATAAGTTGAATGAGGAAGATAAATATTTTCAACAAAGAAAATTAAGGTAATAATATTATATACGGAATATCCACAAGGACCAACAGAGTTGTATTTAATAGCATTCGACGGATAATGAAAAGGAAAAGCAGCACTGCCAAGCACAATATACCACTTTTTCTTAAGAAAAATAAATTAGAACTTGTATATCGACATATAAAATATGGCCAAATTTATTAATTTTAAGGCTCCTTCATCTAAAAGCGTTCACCACTATTGCTTCTGGCTATTTGCGAAATACGCTTTCACCAAATGGTGTTATAAGACCAGAAACATAAACTAATACAATTTTTAAATTTCATGAAATATAACCATAGCATCAATAATCTGCCACATAGTTATGCCATGAAATACATTCATATTTGATGGAAATCCCAAAAATAATCAAACAATGCTGACTACTTTCTGGGATAATCCAAAATAAATTTTCTCTGGTTTATAGCTCAATAATTCTAATAAAATTAGCAGAATTTTTTAAATCCCTTCCAATTTTTAATTATATATTTGGAAATAACTGAAATTAGAAAATATGTAGCAAGCAATAAAAAAAATTTTTGAAAACGCTAAGTCTAATGCGATCATAAAAAATGGATTACAACAACAACAGCCCTGGAAGATGTACAACTGTAAAAGATGAATATGAATAAAGATGAAAAGATGAATATAGTGATCATATGAAATGGTTTCGTAGAACCCGCTGAAGGCTGATAATAACCCTAACAAAACTGTATATAACTGATTTTATTAGAATACTGACATAGAATACTTCCCTTGCAGTGATTTTTTTGGTCGCATAGTCACGCAGAAGTTTCCAAAACAAATTCTGCGAAATATTTGTGGGACTGCAAAAATAAATAATGCGAAAAAAATCGATGGAAAGACATCAAAATAAAAAAATTATAATAAACGAAACAACATTTGTGACATATTTCGAACGAAGAAATTTTTTTCAAAAAAGAAAAGTCTATTTAAATAAAGAATTTATTTTCAAACACAACACCCATTTTTCTATTGAATAAAATAGAAATTCACTTTGTACTAAAAACAAAAATAGAAATTTAAGAAAGAAAGAAACGTTTCAGCTAAAATTTCAGAAGATTGCACATTTCCATCATTCGTTTCACGTTTAGCCTTTTCAGGTTCATCGATCTCAACATCATTGTTATCACTATCCTCAGAATCACGATCGAACAGCTTTAGTAATTCCTCGTAATAATCATTTTTATTTTTATCCATCGTCCTTAAAATAAACTTTTATAGATTAAAAATTTATTGCCATAGAATTTCAAGGAAACAAAATTCAGCGCGAATCCCACTAACCCCTGACCTTCGTCCAAACGTTGAAATCAAAAGCCAAAAACTTTTACGGCCAAAACACCTTCCCACACTCTTAATCAAAACTTATTTTTCTTGCCTTCTTTTCCTGTCCGATAATTTTTTTGCATATCGCAAATACGAATTCAAAGAATATCGTGGTAGGACTCCACTTCAAAATTTGCAAATTTTATCGCTTAAAATTGAAATTATTATTTCTCCTCTATGAGCGTTCTTCAAAGCTGCTGGTTAGGCGCGCTCCTCTAGTTTGTCGGCCAGAAAATTCGCCAGGAATCCGCTTGGAGATAAAAATACAGATGGGGTACCAGCATTATTCCGAATTTTGATAGGGAAGTTCTTTACGCTATGAAGTGTCAGTAAAAACCCACTGAGCCATTTTATCTCGTTTTTGTCTTCCATTGTTCAATTTTGTTGTTTTTGAGGACAGTTCAAGATTCATCTCTAAGGACCCATCAGTTTTTAGGGGCTGTTGACGGACATTCACGCAAGCCAGTAAGGAAAACATGTCCTTCTCTGTAAGTTAGTGCCATAAAGTGCACCAAACCCAAATGGTAGTTTTCTGGCTACTGACTTTTAGTAATAATAACTATAAACAGTAACTAAAGTGTAAATTGAAGTTAATATTCTGATTTCTGAACTCTGAGTGAACCTAATTATCGAAAAGGGAATAAAACAACAGTGAAATGGACGATGTAAAATTAGGTCTTGAAACGAGTACATGGTTACGGTGCATAGAGTGTTTTTGATATTTGTCTCTTAAAAGGTTTTCCATAAATTTTCCTTTGATGCTGGAAGTTAATTGTAAAAGTTTCTTTGAAATAGATCGGTGGGTGTGAATAATAAATTATGGCTTGAACTTCATTTTCCTTGCTTTTTTTCTTTTTTTGAATGAACTGTAAAAATGACTTGCAAACCTTAATAAATGCGTGTTCGTTGGTCGACCATTGTGATGAACTGTGAATTTATCAAAGTAGTTGAGCAGCAGCAGCCTCTTGCGTCAATTTCATTCTTTAGATATGATATCGGCAATAGTTTTTTGTCGAAATATTTAATTTAATTATTGTTTCCAGGTTATGCGATTAAGACTTAGGTTTTTAAATTTTTTATGTTTTATCCCTTTTGCTGCTTTTCAAATCACAAACGAGAATCGTTTCGCTTATGTATACTTACGTTCAAATATTAAAAGATCAGTAAATTTCTCCTAGTTCATGAAAATTCTTTCATGGAGCCTTAAGCACAACGTTCAAGGCAATAAATCTAAATAATTAAATATATTCAAAATTATTTTTGTACCTTCAAAAGCGAACAGATATCATACGAAATGTTCTTAGCGTGAATTTTGTAATTATAAGAGCAGGAAAATTTTAAATCGCAGATTTCTTTGCTATAGAATAAATTTCAATAAATTTATAATTTGATGGGTTTATTTCCACTAGGTAGCTTTTCTTTTCAGAATGGCGAGCTACTGGATGGCAGATGGTGCAAGTAATTCTGAGAACGTTTGGTACGGCCGAGGTCAACATGGTTGGACCAGTTTTAATTATGATCAAGCAAGGCGTCCTGATGCAGGCAATGATTTTAATAAGGAACTTTACAAAAATCCTTTTGTTTGTTCCAGCAGGATTTTTTCTGTCAGGTTTATTGCCTGCATTATATTTGCTGATGATGGCGTCATTGTGACAGTGGCCTATTGACCTAATAATATATTGTAGAGATCGGAATTATTCCACGCTATGTTTATTGATTGAAGTTAAGGACCACATTTGAGTTCACATAAGCAATTGCTTGACAATAAATTCTTAGCAGTATTATTAAAATTAACATTTCTTGGTTACAGGTGCCTATGGTGCTCAGTACAGTCAAACATCTTATCCGGACTATTATGGAGGGCAAATGTTCGTTTCATCGCAAGAAGAACGTAAGTCTAAATTTCTTTGACGTCCATCATGAAAAAGTTGGAAACGCATCATGCTTTTTAGTTGTGGTTGTTCAGATATAGATTTGTTCAAATATTTCAAATGGTCAAATGGTCGTTTTATTCAAAATAAAAATTAAATAGGGCTAAGAGCCATTTACTTATTACATTAACAAAAATAAAGAAAAGTTAAGATAAAGAAAGTAAATTAAAACTAGAATACAAAAAGAAAACTATAAGAAAAACTAGACATAGTAAAACCATATGTTGGGATTTTACCTATTTTATACTAAGTGAAAATGATAATGAACAAAAGAAAAGCAATAAAAAAATTGTACTACTGAAGTATTATTGAAATAGATGAGAAAAATAATTAGGGTTGTAATTTTAAATAATGTTGTACATAATGCTATTAAGTTTTTTAAGTCGTTTTTGTTTTTAAAACTGGAGGCTGACGAAGTAAAAATCACTAGGCATTTAAAGTCATTTCACTGATGTCATTATTTAATCCTTGATATTTCTTCATACTTTCATCTAGATTTATTTTTAGCTGCTACTGAATGTGATTATGAAAATGAACCACCATTGTTGGAAGAATTAGGCATTAATTTCTTGCATATAAGGGAGAAAACTCTAGCTGTATTGAATCCAGTTGGTACCGTCTCCCCAGATGTATGTTGCTTTAAACCCTTTTTATCATAATCGTATAATATAGTATTGTTTATAATTTTTTGAGAGGAATATATGGCTTAGTTCATTTGAAATTATTGTAAAGGTCAACTTCGTTTTAGGTAATAGCTGATCAAGATTTAGCAGGACCGCTAGCTTTTTGTCTTCTTTTTGGATTGGCTCTTTTGCTGCATGGCAAGGTACAGTGCATATATATATATACATTTACAAATTACAAATTACTTACAAATTATATTTATAATTAACAAATCGTATCATACGATTTAATTGCAGATTAAAATACAGTAATTTTTCGTTTCATTGAGTCCTTTTTATTTCATTAAATATTTAAATAGGTTGTGTCTATAAATGTTTCAAACTAGCCTTATTCGTTTCAATTTTCAGTCATATTATAACGAGATCAAAATAAAATTTACATTTTTTCCCCCTGTTAAACTCTTATTTATTTTTTCAATAATATTTAAATAATGTAACGAATGTTTTGTTGTTAATTGATTCCTGAATTTTTAAGGTACATTTCGGTTATATTTATGGCATTGGTGCATTAGGATGTATTGGAATGTATGCTTTATTAAACTTAATGGCTACTGATAAATCTATATCCTTCACGTGTACAGCAAGTGTTTTGGGCTATTGTCTTCTTCCAATGGCTCTGCTTAGTTTGATTGCTGCTGTTTCAAATTTCCAGGTCGTTATTTTTTCTGTTTTGTTTAATTTTTATTATGAATATTTCAAAAAATTATGCCTAATGGATACTAAAACTTTGGACATAGGTAACTCGCAAAATATGATTTTTTATGGTTTTATGATTCTAATTTTTTGCAGATATTTTAGTTAATTTTAGGAATTTTAGGAATGATTAAATCTTACTTTCACTTTATCGCTTTGTTTTAGGCAAATTGGGGTTATTTGCTATCTGGTACTGCAGTTTTATGGTGCAGCATATCATCATCCAAATTATTTGTTGTAATGTTGGCTTTAGATGGACAAAGATTGTTAGTCGCGTATCCTTGTATATTGTTGTATTGTGTCTTTGCTTTATTGGCTATTTTTTAACTAACTTTTTTGATTACATGTTTTATTTAGGTTTTAATGAAAATTATTTGTCTTCTTAACGTGAGTTTCATATATTAAAATTAGAAAGAAGATTAGAAAAAAGCGAACGAATGAAATTTATTGGGAAATGCGATGTTTATCTATTCAATAATGGTATAATATCTTTACTATATCTATTATATCTAATGTTATTATGTCTAATTTTTCTTGAAATTTTTTTTGAAATTCTTCTTGTTTTACTAATTGTTCAGTGTTTGGTTCCATTAACAAAATATATGTGGTGATAAATAGAATTTCGCAATGTTTGGTTGTAGTTTTTTTTATCTATCTATAAATTCTTCAATGTATACCAATATATACGCATTGTCTTTTAAATCTTCGAATTTTTTCAAACTTTGATTTCATTGATTGATTGCATCTATTTACTTTTCTTCATTTTTTGTTTGGTGTACTTCGTTTTTTAAAAAACTTTAAATTTTTAAATTTTTTTGATAAGTTTTTGATAATTTGTTCCATAGTTTCAACTGCAATTTTTTTCTTTTTCATTTTTTCCCTCAATATCTTCTCTTCCTAAATAAGCATAAAAGAAGTTGAGCATTTGTTCTTTGCAGTGTTTTTGGGAGCATGCATTTCATTTTCCAGTTTCAGAATAAATTAGGCTGAATTATGATTAGCGAAGTGGTGAAGGTTGGCCGTGAAGATGTATGGGTTGTGCATCCTGTGCCAGGATATGTAGTGAAATTCAAGGAGGTAACAATTGCCATATATGGTTTCATGTTAAGTTAAAGTCTTAAGTTTTATTGGAAAAAAAAAATTTTTTTTTAAAAAAGGCGTATTATTGCATTTTTGAATGTAAGGATCATTTTAGATAGGAAAAATACTTTTTATGAAAAATTTTGCTGGTTTGCTCATTTAATATATGTAAGATAATAAAAACTGAGGGAACTGCCTGAGAACATGAAAACAACCATGTTTTTGTCAGCTGGTTGGTAAGAAACAGGTATTAATCAATAATTTGATAAAAGAATACTTATGGACAAACAGATAATTGTCTAATTTCTTCTGCTTATCTTTTTCTAGGTGTCAATTGGTTCAGATTTGTTTGGCGAGAGTAAATGCAAGCTTTTCTTGAATATATGTCATTGCATTAATGTTCCTCGGCCCATTGAAGATTACGATGAGGTTCTTTTTATCCAAAATAGTTATGTTAAGAAAGTTTGCCATATATTGAAATTTAAAACTACTAGATGACACTTTTTGAGTTTAAAATTTCCCTTTAAAAACAGTTATTATTTTTTAAATTGGAATTTTTTAAAGGATCATAGTTCAGGACAAAATAGCCGAAATTATTGATTCAGATGATCCGGGTCGTTACAGAATCCCTTTAAGCGTTGGTGAATTGGAATGCATTCGTGATAATAGGAACGAAAATTGTGCGAAGGTTAGGTTTTTTTAAAAATAATTTTAGCTACGAAAATTTTCGCGACTGGAGTGTCAGTTAGTTACTCCATATGCAAGAAATTAAAAATTTGTTAAATTACCTGAAAAAGTAAAAATTTAAAAAAGTTAAAAGCTTAAGAATTTTTAAATTTCAGAATTTTTATTAGAGTAAAGAATTTTTAACCTGCTAATTAGTAGGGTTGATAATTTGTATTAATAATTTAATGCGAAAATGCGAAGATAGCAAATCTTTGTGTCATCTGCAGCAGTTTTGAATTGAATAAATGATTCGAGAATATTGTTTCTTATAAATTGAAAAAGAATCTAAAAAAAATTTTTTAATGCGTTAATTTTTTTTCAGATTGATATTATCGTTAATTCCACTTTTTATGCGGAACGTTTAGAAATTAGCGAATTCTTCAGACAGTTATTACTTCTGATATTGACTGACGCGCTTGATGCAAAACATAAAATTAAAATTGATCTGAAGGTTAAGTTTTCTAATAATCAGCATTTTATCGCTTATCGTCCTTATTTAAGAAAGCTGTGCAACTGAAAAACCGCAGGGTAATGGGTGATCTAAGTACGCAAAGAATTAAAAAGGAACCGGCGAACAAATTTATCCAAGAAACAGTGGAACCAGCGGAGGAAGAGGTAAAACACCATTTATGTATCTTTTCTTGTATGTATTGATTCTTGTTCGGTTAATATCTTGTTATGCTCAGAAATCAGTGTCACAATTTTTTAAGTTATTTTTCTTCGAAATATTGTGCAAAAAATTTGTTCAAATTAATAGAATATAGTTCTTCCTTGATTTTAGTCTAATGTTTTGAATTTTAATTTATAGAACCTCATCTTCGACAATTATTTGCCTCGCAACTGTTTATTATTCCTTAAACGAGGAAAAGAATTTGAATTGTTAATAAAATTTCCTAAAGAAAATACTCCTATTGAGGATCCAAAAAGGTAGATGATGTAATCTGTTCTATGTAATCTAATATTACCATTAACCTTCCAATATTCCTTTGTTAAAATTACTAATAATTTTATTGTCCAGTACTCATTTTATTCATCCTGAGGTTAATGTCTGAATTTTCGGGAAATAGTTAATGAAAATAATTGGAAAACATGGTAGCGGAACATCCGTTTGTAACGAATCATTTTTTCAAGACTTATTTGTTTGATAATTTCTTAATTACAAGATTTTAAATCACATTTAGGTTATGCCTAAAAATAAATGATGATCGCTTGGTATTAATTCTTGATCGAAGACGGACGATTGCTGACGTATATTTTCCGTTCAAAATTAATTATGACAATCCAAATGTTGAATTATTTGTGGATAAAGATACTCTTCGGGTTACAGCTGCAGTTGTTTGGTGATACTCTTTTTTCCTTTATAGATTATATTTATAATTTGTTGAAAGCGTTATGTTAATTTTTTAATTCCTAAAACTACTAAATGAAAAAATCAAATGATTTGTTTTCTCCTTGTTATATTGCGATTTTCAATTGTCATCAAATGAATTGAAATGCAAATTTTAGAAGTTTGCAGAGATTTTGTTGAATTCTTTGGAATAAACGGTGGTATTAATTTTATTTTTATTGCATTTTAGCTTGCTAATTTTCTTATTGTTAATCTTATTATTATTATTACATATAAGAAAAATGTGACCTTCGTTGAAAATAAATTTTTATATTGGAAACCGTGAAGAATTTGGAAATTGCTGCGAAAAAAGTGTTTTCTGCAAAAATATAGCTCAATTGTCTCAAATCTATATATCAGCAGCGGGATCGCTAATGTTAAATGAGAATTTCTATATTATATAAAAGTATTTACTAAATATTTTCTTGTACTTTTTGGTCGTTATATATTTCTAATGAACATTCAAATGAATATCGAAAACTCAGTGAGAAGTGAATAAATAATCTTTTATGGCGCAAAAATTTTTCGAGAGGTCGATGGTCCTTCATTTCCAAGTTTCAGTTCAAAATTGAAATCGCCAACAAAATAATCTATTTTTCAAAACTGGCTGTTTAATGTTGACATCTTATGTCGTATGTGGTGGTACCACAGTGTGGCAGAAGATCACTTGTTTTAGTGGTGATTTTTCATTTTTTGTGTTCCCATTCTGCCAAATTTTAGCGCCTTTGTTTCGTTATTTATATTTTTCTTTCATCCTAAATTAAATGGGCAGCGTTTCACCATTTTTCCGCTGCCTCTTAAACGGTCACAATGTGGTTTTGCCAGGGAACACTAGTTGCCAGCATCACCCAGATTTTTTAAGGTTTGCTTCCACTGGAATCGATAAATTAAACATCTGATGCTGGTCTTGGATCGCTGTAACTCTACCACTTGTGCACTTTTGTCTTATCTTACATCGTTTTACTTCATTTTCTTCTCTTTTATCTTGCTCTCCTTTTTTTGATGTTGTCGCATATCCGATTAGGTAAAGCTCTGCTTCGACCATTTTTTTGCCATTTCAGTAATGTTCATAATTTCCCAAGTAAGAATCGTGGAATGATCTCCAAAGTGAAACAAGCAAATTTTTAGATAAATAAATAAATTTTAATTTTATGCTGTAATTTTTAGCTTTTTACCGATTTAGAATTAGACTTGCTGCAAATTTTGTAGTAAAACTCCCTAATTCAAAAATTGCAGCATAATTATCACGATGTGACAACAAATAAATAAGAAACGGCTGCACGCCGTTGTCACTTTATCGCTTTTCGTAATTTTTTGAACGGTCACGTGGTTGACTGCAACTGGTAATGTACCTGTACTTTTCAGCTGCTGTAAATTCTGCTATGATTTTGAAGTTGCCAGTATGGAAGTCGTTCAGTTGCTACTGTAGAAGAAAATCGTCCTTCATCAGGGTGATCCTGAATTCTTTTTTATGATTATTATTGTGCCAAATCACTTTAATAGCAGTGAAGCCAGCCTAAGCAGTAGTGGTAAATAGTAATAATACGTGGTTTTCAGAACGTCGAGTCGATAATTCCTCAACTTGAAGAAGTTTTAGGGTACAAAAATGTTAACATCTCAGATGCAGTTCGGGATCAGCATTCGCACGATGAAGGACATCATCCGTTTGTTTCTTTGACAGTTATCAGAAATCTTTCATTTGCTCTAACTTTGCATAAATTGCATTTTCCCCATTTATTTGTTGGATTTATCCACGCTTTTTGCATCAGCGTATTTGGCATACCTAACTGATTTGCGAGATTGGTATACATTTTGGCATCCGTTTACTTTTTCTGCCATAACAATATCTTATTCGTTCAGAAAAACTTTTTTTAAAATTGTTCTTTGATTCGAATTTACAGCGAGAAACGGCCAGACGTTGTAATATTCCCAAAAAATGTGATTGAAGTAAGTACGGCTGTAAAAATATGTAATGAAGCTAAGATACCGATCATACCATTTGGAACTGGTACAGGTCTCGAAGGAGGCATTAATGCAATTGTGGTACCTTTTTCGTTTTGTTACATATTTCGAGAAACATTTTTCAGGTTTGTGGAGGAAATTGTGTATTTTTATGTGTTCTTTCCTATTTTTATCTTTTCTGCTTATCATTTCGTTTTCTTTCTTATTTCTTCTTCTCCCATCTATTCCATCTCACCTTTCCTCACATTCGGTCTTAGTGTTTTTTCCATTTCTTTCTTTTTTCTAATGAGTAACTGAAGATTGATAATATCCACATTACGAAGAGAATAAAACTTGCAAACCTGGTGTTTAATCCATGAAAAGAATTTTAAATTCATAAACTAAATTAAGTAAAGAAATCTGCAGTTGAAGTCGGAATATGCCTTACTCATGTATTATAACTAAAGTTTCTTTCTATGAACTCTCACCACTATCAGTTAAACTTGCTTCGCCAAAGAAATATACCAGGGAGTCTCTTGGCGATAGAAATACAGGTGAGTCGATGCCATCACTCAGATTATTGAAAGACAAGAAAACTTCCGCCGGGAGTGGAACCGCAGCACCGGCACTTCAGCCCCCCCTCACCCTACCCCATTCTTTATAGCTACAGTTGTGATGGAATAATAGAACTGTTTGCTCAGATAGATTACAACTGGTAAGAACTGTTACAGGGTGGTGTTTCAATGGACTTAATGGATATGAGTGACATTGTTTCTGTAAATGTGGCAGATTTCGATTGCGTAGTGCAGCCAGGTGTTACTCATAAATCTCTTAATGCACGATTACGTGATACTGGGCTATGGTTTTCTGTTGGTAAGATTGTCTTTTTATTCTTGATTATAGCGTTTAAATCACTATCTTGTAGTTTTACTTTTATTTTAACTTTTTATTATTTTTCATTTTTTTATAGGATACTTATTTGTTCGATAATATGAGGGCTTTTATGTTTATATGTATATATTTTTATGTCCAGTGTCAAACGACCGAACAATGAATGGTTTTGCGTTGTACCAGAGCTCTTTTGATTCTGTTTAAATTTTTGACAATTTTTTTACCTATTATTAGAGCCTCATTCTAGTATTTACCAATATTTTCATGTCTCATAATTTCTTCATTCTTTGCACATTTACTGCTGGAATAAAAAAATATCTACCTACTGAATTTGTTGTTGAATTTGTTCTTGCCTCATCAGTACTTAGTTTTGGGACAATTAGACAAAATTATTCGTGACGTCATGTAACTAAGACACATTATTCGGTCGCTGGTTAACATTAGCTTAATTTTCCTCTTTCTTCTTTTTTATAACTATCGTTTGGTATGAATATTTATTTATTTTTATTTATATCTTTTATTTATTTATTTATATCTTTTCCTTTTTATTTCTTTTCGATTGGATTGAATAAGTTCATTCGAGAAGAATAAATTACATTATGAATTTGAAAAAGAAGTAAAACTAATACATCTATTTATTAGGTAGAATTTAAACATAATAAAATACATGAAAAAACAATATGCTAAAGAATCTCTTCAACATTTTTTGACAAATTTTTAGATTTTCAACTAGTACGTACGTTTTATTTCAGATCCTGGTGCTGATGCTTCGATATGTGGTATGGCAGCAACATGTGCTAGTGGAACTAATGCGGTTCGATATGGGACTATGTTGCATAACGTAATCAATCTTCAGGTTCGACTGTGTTAAAGATATAAATTGCAAAAGTTTCAAGAGCCTTGAAGGTCTTGATACTTTCATATTTACGTACTTTTTGATTCTTCAGCGATTTTCTTACAAATTTTAATGTTATTGGGTTAGATCCTCTTCTTTTGGATTCGTATGATTTATGAATTTTTTTGCGAAAATCGACTATCACTTGTTTATTCTTTCATATCTGACGCCTTTCATCCTCGTGGATTATTAAATCTGTGATCTGTGGTGGTACGAAATATCACGAAAAGTAGACAAAGAGAATAATTTTTTGGTATAATTATTAATTATACCAAATTAATTTAAAGTGCTAGTTAATAAATGTTGAATTTCATTATTTTATAAAATGTTATTTATATTCCCACAAGTTTCCACAAATTTAAGGTTGTCCTAGCCAATGGAGATATACTATATACGAATGGTAAAGATAGAAGATACAGGTGATTTAGTAACTTGCATTAAATTTATGGAATTATGAAGTTTTTTCTCTGCGAATCCTGTGAAATCATTCTATTTCTGCTTTATACCGCTTATGTAAATTTTTTCATTGCACGAAATTTAGGAAAACTTCTGCCGGTTTTAATTTAACTGAGTTATTTGTTGGATCAGAAGGTACTTTGGGAATCATAACCGAGGCTACTGTTCGATTAAATGCTCGGCCTTTATATTGTTGTGTTACCGTTTGTTCATTTTCGACGGTTCGTGAAGCTGTTGACGCTGTTGTCGCTGTTCTTCAGTGCTGTATACCCATCGCAAAAATCGGTGAGTCTGGTACTTTCTACTAAGGAATTATGTTAAAATATATTTACAAGAAATATTATTTTTTACTTTCTTTTTCCTTTTTTTTCACAATTTTTCGATTAAATGAGTTATTTCAAATTGTTTATTCGTTTATTTATCATTCAACACTATCTGTTGAGGTACTCTCATGTTTAAAAAATTTCTTTCATATTGTATAAAAACGCATAATAAAACGTTTATTATGACTTATGAAATAACCCATTCTTATTTTATGTTGGCCAAAAGGGAAACATTAAAAGTAAGGATGGTTCAAATAAGATGAGATTTTGAGATACTGGAGAAAAATTAAGAAAAATAATTAAGAATAATTAAGAAAAAAAAAATGAATTTATGTCAAGACTGGTCTTTTAATTAAAACTTGCGAATGAAAACTTTTTTTTTCTTTTTCTTTTCTTTCTTTTCTTTTTCTGAATTTAAAAATAAAGAATAGAAAATATATATATAATTATATAAAATGCATATATACAATTTATAATATTATATATATAAAATATTTGTCCAACTTTAACAGGAGTAAACCTGTCGTGTCAAAAATCCGAGTGGTTGCTGGGACCCACTTGTAAGTCTATCCCCCAAGTGACTCTATGGTAAAAGGGTTAGATATTCTTGATACAGTGTCCGCTCCTTCCAACGCGCATGATACTCCCAGTCCGATGATACATGTGATAAGTATACAATCCGTGCGTAAAGCGATCCTAAGGCTGATAAATAAAATGTGATTGCAAGCCAGGGTAATTGCTCGAAACCTATCAAGGGGAACAGCTCTCTGCTCGCGCAGCTAGGTATCAGCTTGTAACGTCAAAACGTTGCAAGTCAAGCGATCACTGACCCTTCTAAATATCGTGTGGATATCACATACTTTTCGGAGCTCCATTTTTCTCACTTTGGGTCTCGTGCAAACTTGGCTCGGAGCAGAGGTACTGGATATGTCATTGTAATGTTTCGGGTAACTCGGTGCGAAATGGCCTAGTGAGTGTCATATTTGAAAAGGCCCATTCCACTTTGATTGAATGGAAACCGGTAAGCAATAGTATGGCCTATGCCTATGCTTTAAAGGCAAGTTTTGCAATATCTTGGTCACATTATATATGCTCCAATTTTGTCGATGTCCGTGATAAAGATAAGTTCTATGTGGAACTTCAACTGCTAACAAAGTCTGTACCGGAACATGACACTGTCATAATGGGAGGAGACTGGAATGTGTGTAGGTCATAACGCTGAATGGTCTCGAAAATTGGCAAATATTGCGACCGGTGCGCCAAATGGGGAATGCCTTCTTCGTTATGCCGAAGAGCATGAACTTTTTGTTACAATTACTTGCTTCCGACATCGTAGAAAACATCTAGTCACGTGGAACTCCCAGAAAACCAACCCTTCAATTAGATTGATTACATCTTAATCAGTCGCCGTTGGAAAGGTTCCGTACTTGATAGCCTACCGCGGCGCTGAACAGGTAATCTTCATGGGTTTAAACATGTTATAGTTCGAGCCAAAACTTAGAAAATATTCATTTTTTTCCCACGAATTTCACCAGTAAACTCAGCTATAAACAATTCTTTAAAGAAAATTCTATGTGGCATTATCACAGCATGACTATGACTCTCGTCTAATCTTATCTCTCCACATCTCTGGTAAATATTAAGTATTTTAATGAATCATTATGGCAATTTATGTTAGAAAGTTCATTAAGCAAGATTTTTCTTTATTCCTGATGGCACCAAAAAATTCCACCAAAAAAATTGATCATTATGATTATCATTATTATCATTATTTATGCTTTATTGAAATTGTATCTATGATAACTTAAAATAAAATATTCAACCCGCATAAAATTGGCAACCCGCAGAAAATAGCATCTCTCAAGATCCTTCGACTATCTCAAACTAAAAAATTTGGGAACAATGAGCGTATTTCAAACCGAATTGTTGAAGTGTCTCTATGATACAGATATCAATGATTTTTCTGGTACGGCAAATGAATACTGGTCCAAACTAAAGGAATGTCTCTTAAAGTCAGCCACTTCCACGCTAGGGCATACTAGTAGGAAGTGTGCTAGTTGGGTATCGTAAGCAACTGTCCAACTGTCTGAAAAAGCTACCAAAGCACGAATGTCAGGTGATCCTGACTACTGGGTGCTTCGAAGATTTGCAACGAAAGCGTCAAGGCGGGAGAGAAATCACTATTGGAATGACATGGCCTTGAGAATGGAGACGGCGGCTCGATTAGGCGATAATAGGAAACTATTCCGCCTTCTTTATAAAGTAACCATAACTCGGGGAGCGATCAGTTAAATGGTAAAAGATAGCTGTGGTGTGCCTATTAAAAGTATTAAGGATAGCCTCATAAGATGGAAGGAATTCTTTGAGGCCAAATTTAACCATGATGCGTCATCTGTTGCCTTTGATATAGCTGATACGTTCGCCGAACTATACGCTTGCAATTGCGAGCCTCCAATAGAAGAAATAATTTCCGTTATCCATAAGCTTAAGGCCAATAAGACTCCGGGAGAAGATGGTCTTCGGGCTGAACTCTTCAAATGCTGTCCTTTCATAACACACCTTCAACAAATGTACTGTCTGGTATGGGAAAAAGAAATATTAATTCTGCTCTCAATTTTTAAGAATGCCCCTAATCAAGCTAGATTTAGACCGGGCCTGGTTGTGCTGATCAGATATTCAGGTTAAGAAGGGTTTTGGAACATCCCTTCACATATTTGTGACACACCGTCACGTGTTTGATCGACTTTGCGGCTGCCTTCGATTCATTTGATATAGCCGCACTTTGAAGGGTGATGGAACTCGACGGTGTTCCAGAGAAGATCATTCGACTCATAAACGCGTTTTATGAGCGTACGTTAGCGCAGGTCTGTGCATATGGAGAACT